ATTTTATATAGGAACCTACACATATACACAGCATTTTATATAGGAACCTACACATATACACAGCATTTTATATAGGAACCTACACATATACACAGCATTTTATATAGGAACCTACACATATACACAACATTTTATATAGGAACCTACACATATACACAGCATTTTATATAGGAACCTACACATATACACAGCATTTTATATAGGAACCTACAAATAAACACAGCATTTTATATGGGAACCTACAAATATACACAGCATTTTATATAGGAACCTACAAATATACACAGCATTTTATATAGGAACCTACAAATATACACAGCATTTTATATAGGAACCTACAAATATACACAGCATTTTATATAGGAACCTACACATATACACAGCATTTTATATAGGAACCTACAATATACACCGCATTTTATATAGGAACCTACAATATACACAGCATTTTATATAGGAACCTACAAATATACATAGCATTTTATATAGGAACCTACAGATATACACAGCATTTTATATAGGAACCTACAAATATACACAGCATTTTATATAGGAACCTACACATATACACAGCATTTTATATAGGAACCTACACATATACACAGCATTTTATATAGGAACCTACACATATACACAGCATTTATATAGGAACCTACAATATACACAGCATTTTATATAGGAACCTACAATATACACAGCATTTTATATAGGAACGTACACATATACACAACATTTTATATAGGAACCTACAAATATACACAACATTTTATATAGGAACCTACAAATATACACAGCATTTATATAGGAACCTACAAATACACACAACATTTTATATAGGAACCTACAAATATACACAGCATTTTATATAGGAACCTACAATATGCATAGCATTTTATATAGGAACCTACACATATACACAGCATTTTATATAGGAACCTACAAATATACACAACATTTTATATAGGAACCTACAAATATACACAGCATTTTATATAGGAACCTACAAATATACACAGCATTTTATATAGGAACCTACAATATACACAGCATTTTATATAGGAACCTACACATATACACAGCATTTTATATAGGAACCCACACATACACACACCATTTTATATAGGAACCTACAAATATACACAGCACTTTATATAGGAACCTACACATATACACATCATTTTATATAGGAACCTACAAATATACACAACATTTTATATAGGAACCTACACATATACACAGCATTTTATATAGGAACCTACAAATATACACAGCATTTTATATAGGAACCTACACATATACACATCATTTTATATAGGAACCTACAATATACACAGCATTTTATATAGGAACCTACAAATATACACAGCATTTTATATAGGAACCTACAAATATACACAGCATTTTATATAGGAACCTACACATATACACAGCATTTTATATAGGAACCTTATGGCGGTACCCCGGGGTCTCATGTTCGTGATGCAGTCATTTTTAGTCTGTTGATGGTCGGCGATGTGGCAATCGACTCATCTCGACGAGCTGTACACGGTTAATTTTTCAATGACGGATTTTTGTATGCTAATTTTCGGCGTTCCGACATCTCGGAGTAGCACCGATGTCGGATTGTTTGGTACCCCAGTCGCGGGGTGAAGTACACCCCTCGGAAAAAATAGTGTCCCAGAAATAAAATATTTAATTGCCTCGGCCATTTAGTATTATTTGGTACCCTGGGATACCGCCATAAGGATCATATATAACGATGGTAACGATCGGAATTACACCGATAGAGAGAGAGAGAGCAGCTCATGGATCTGAGAATGTACGCAACGTTTTGGAGACGTCGCATTAATGTGTAAAAAAAAAGATAAGACCGGCTTGGGGCAAGGGGACTGGTCGCTGGAAAAGCACGACGGTCGGTGGTCGACTAACAACGGAACGGCAGCTAAAGGAGGGAGACACGACGAGCCACACACACACATACACAGAGGGAGAGAGAGTTAGGACGCCCTAGTGCGGAGACGGAGCGGTGAATTCAGCTCGCGCGCGGGTTTGCTGGCTGGCTGGAACGTTCCATCGCGTGGCCGTGAGACATTCGGACTGCTCGAGGAGGGAGGCGTTCGTCCAGCAGTAGCTCGATCGTGGCCGATGACTATAACCACGATAACTTGTGGAACACAACAGCCATTGTGTTGCTCTCATTTACGATGCTCCGTGTTCCGCTCGTTTATGGCTTTGCCCGAACGCTCAGTGGGACTGAAAGCCGGGCTGGAGGAAGAGGAGGAGGAGGTGGGGGGGGTTGGTGGTAGGGGTCGTGGTTTTGGGGTTCTGGGCGGTGCTACTTGGCGTGTACTCTCACCACTCGTAGTAGCTCCTCCTGTGGAATACAGGAGGAGCAGTGCCTGAGAGGGAGGGCATCACTCGGCAACCGCGCTTGGACGTGCGACTGTTGCTCGGAGCAGAAGAGGGTGGCCTCTGTACAGGTGAGTGAACTATACTCACCGACGTGGTCACTCACCAACGTGGTCACTCACCTACTCACTCGTTGGATCACTTACTCAACAGCTCATTTCCTAGCTTAGCTGCTCACCCAAATCGCTCACCTTTATTTAGTGACTCGTTTACGCATTCGCTCACTGACCTACAAACCCACTCACTCACCTGTCCCTTCATTTAATAACTCAAGCACTGTATGCAGTTATTTACCTGCTCATACACTCGCTCAGCTGCTCACTCGTTTAATACATTATTCACCTACTCATTAACTTGATCACCCAATAACTCACCCACTCGATAACTTGATTACCTGCTCACTCATTTAGTCACGCATTCACACTCTCATTCTGTCGCCTACTGACTCATCCACTCCCGCACACCCTGGACGACTCACCTACTCATCTGCTCATTCACCAACTCTCTCAATCACTAACTCACTCACCCAATCGAACTCCTGCTCCACCATTTAAAAGCTCACTCACCTGCTCACCAACTCACTTACCTACCCATGTACTCACCCACTCATTAATTAACTCACGAACTCATTCGCTTATTCTCTCACTCAATTATGTATCCACTTCATATTTTACTCACTCACTTATGGAATCACCAACTCGCACACCCACTATACTCACCTATTCCTCCACTCGGTCACCTCACCCATACAAACATTCACCTATTTACCCACTCACTTCCCGACTCACCCATGCACTCACCCCACTCATCGGCTCACCCCACTGACATGTACAGCCCTTTGTCAATCCACTGCTGGATGAGGGCCACCCCACGCTGTGGGAGTTTGCTTCATCGTAAAGAAAAACAAACATCTTCGGCGTGGGTTTGTGAAGGCAGTGACCACGGGAGTACAAAGTATTTCATATCTAACATTCATTCATACGTTATAATATCCATGCATCCGTCATGTCCGTCTGAAAGGTGAAGCATCGGACGTGGTTTTTACGAAAGCACTCTGCTTAGCGGACTTTGAGAGAGTGCTTATATCCCCATTGTCTGCCCGAGTGATGCGCCTTCTAGTCTGCCCTTGTATGCACGGCGATGACCTTCCCCTGGGCACTCTGGCTTTCTCCCGGACGAAGTGAAACAACTTGGCCAGGCAGACATCAGCGAGCTGAGCCCAAATCAAGAACCGGCAATATCGGCTGACAACGCTGTACCTACACACTCGAGGGAGACAGAGAGAGCGGGCGGCTCACTTGAGTTCCCGAAGAAGCTCCCAGCACGAGGAGCGAAACGTCGGGCGTCGTGCCGGACAACGCGCGGGGCGGCACAACCCAAAAAAATACATCGGAGAGCTTCATCAGTGCCGTGTGTACCCAGTAAATATTCGACATTGGTCCAACGGTTCCTAACCACAATGTTGGCATATTTACTGGGCATTCACTCATATATCCAGTACATCAGGTCCACTATAATAATGCATTCATACGTCAACCGCGTTTGTCCAACCTTTTAATTGCGCACCGTTCTCACATTAGTCCACGCAGTCGCGGACTTCACGGTCTCGCCCTTCTTTCTCCCTTCCACTCCTCGCTCTCGTTGCGCAAGAACCACGATAGCGACAAAGTCTACGCGCGTCTGGGCCCCCCCCCCACCCGGGTCGCTCCCAGCAGAAGCCACATGCGTCCTGCTCCCAGAGACAGCCAGCGAGAAGGTCAAGTGACTATAGATGGCGCACGCTCGCACATGGCCTCCCCTCCCCCCCACCCTACCCCACCGTGCCTTACTTGGCTGTCTGAGCCTTAGCCATTTCTGCCGAGTACGAATCTCACGGCGGGGGTTGAACCTGGATAGTGTGCAAGGATGGGCCACCACCATGCAAGGAAGAGGTTGTCGTCAAAAGGCTGTGGATCTATGGTGTGGGCAGCAATGCACGAGCATAGGCCGAGGTAAACAAGAAGGCTAAGACAAGTTGGAGGGTCACACTTTTCTGGAGCCCAAAGGAGAGAAATTGTGATTTTCTGAACATTGTGTGGTTATTAACATCGTGATTTGAAGCTTTCGTGACTGCAGGAATCCATACTCTTTGGTTCTTTCGGTGAAGCCACGTAGGTAGAAATGAAATAAAGCAAACTGTTTATGAACATATTATTGGTTATTTTGGTAAAGTCACGTAGAAGGGAAACAATAAAATAATAAAAATATAAAACAATAAAATTCTCACGACCTTTCGACTGCAACACAAGCAATCATCATCAGGTGTGAAAACCACAGCAAGAAAATTTGAAAAAAGTGGCGGTTATTTTTAACGTTAGCACCACGGAGAGCGATTTGGCAGTTATTCAGATGGACAAGTCCATCTGAATAACTGTAATAATAAAAAGATGGACGAGTCCATCTGAATAACTGTGTTCGAAAAAGAGGAGGGGGGAGACGAAAATAATGGATGACGTCTGAAAGCCACCGTAAGCGTGAACAATCAATTAAGACCCGAAATGGTTGATCAAATCCTTCCAATGATTGCTAAACAGTTTGCCTTTAGAGGCTGACACTTTGCCTGATGACGACCGCTTGTGTTGCGATCGAAACGTCGTGATTTGTTTTATTTTATTTGAACTACGTGACTTTACCGAAAGAACCAAATAGTATTAACATCGTCTTGACTATATTTGTACCAAATTCTGCTTCTCTAGCCCCTTGGAGTACATCAGTTGAATGGGCATTAGCTGGAGGTCAATCAGAATATTTATTTATACTGGAGAAATATGATGAGCTATAAAGCTCTTTTTCACAGATGTCCAGTAGGGGCAAGGGGTAAGAACGTTGAGTGGCTGGGTGGCTCAGAGATCTAAGTACGGAGCCGCGTTTGAATCCAGGCAGTTGCCCGTGATTAAACCAGGTTCCCAACGGTGGTGAGTTGATGATATAAGTCCAGTCACCAATAGCTGCGCCAAAAAACTATCATTAAATTTGGTTCCGTTCATAATTTGGCAAAATTCCAGATCTGAGAAGAAAAAATATCAATTTGACTGCCACGCGACGAACATTCCTCTTTGTGGCAAGGGCAGCTGGTAAAGTGCTGCTCCCAACTGTGTCCGACAGAGATCACGTGAAGGGATCTCAGAGGTAGTTTCATGATATCCAATTCCGTGGGCTGTTCTAAAATACGAAGGGTGTTACTGCTCTGAGAAATCTCCGAGTGTATTCTTCGTCTCGTGACATGATACCGATAGCACAATCGGGACAAAATTGGGGGAAAAAGACTAAAACGAACTGATGTTACTTAACTCATCCACCATCGTCTTGCAGACTAATGATGCCCACCGTCGCCCATGTTGTATTGCTCCGTCCCTGTGACAGCGCCATGCCGAGCCTCCTGCCCTCGGCGCTGCTCCTCCTGGCTCTGAGCGCCCACTGCTGCAGCCTCTACTCACCGGGCCTCGCCACCACACCGCACCTGGGCAGGTGGCGGCAGCAGCACCGGCGACCGAGGGCGGTGACCTCACAGCAGCCCCCGGCTTTGCTCACGGCGCGAGGAGGACCACTGGGCGAGGGGAGCCCGGCGCCCGGCGAGGAGGGACAGAGCAGCGGGAATAACGAGCCGGTGGATGGTGGAGGCGGTGAGGCCGTGGGCGGGAGCTCAGCCGCAACCACGCTGGACCCCGGTCGCCCCCTTCGACCCGCGACCCCATTATTTAGTCGGCCGACCGAGTCAGGTGAGGATAAATGTTCTCTCGCACCTCCCTTGAGAGACGCTGCTCCGGTGGAGCGGTCGGCACAGATGCGCTTGCGATCCACAGGTCGTCGGTTCCATTTGATCAGCCGGCGGCGCGGCAGGTGAAGTACAGAATGGGCAAGGTCGCGTGCGGTGAAGTAAAGTGTGGGTGCTTCCACCTCTTTTAAAGCATGTTGACCAGTATACAGCGTTTGTACAGATGTATTGCAACCCCCCAATTAATTGACCCCCCTAACAATTTCTCCTTTGCATATTCATTTCTGTTATAAATAAATCTTACTTGAAAGATATGAAGTTTTAGAGAATCAAATAGGGGTCACAAGGCTTCTGGATCATCCTGTAGAAGAGTAAAAGCCAAATGCCCTCTAAAGCAGCGCTCTAGAGCTGCTCCTAGTGGGCACGCATTCTGCCAGAAGTGACGTGAGAAAACAACTGCAAGAATCTCACCATTTACCTTCCCTTTGTCGTGGAACATGATCCTTATGCAAATACCAGTTCATAAAGCCAGGCAAACGTTTTCAATAAATGTACTAATTAAACTGATAGGATTTTTTACAATGTTTATTGTGGAACTGGAAGAGGTCTTAATATTTCCCTATAAACGACATTCCTTGTAAAAATATATTTAGTTATTTTTTTATGAGCTGTACTTGATGGGCTCCATTCATTACTTTAACTTTTACATTGCCCGACTGCGTAGCCCTGGAAAAAGCAACATTATTGATCATGACCACAAAAAAAGTTATTGACGACTTGATTGAACTTCTTATATTTAAAGACGTACCCATCGGAAACCACTGAATTTAAAGATTCCTTTTTTTATTAGACAGAACAAAACTTTTGATTCAAAGCTTTCGTGACTGCAGGGATTCATATTCTTGGTGACTTTACCGAAAGAACAAAACTTCATGAACTTAATACTCTATGAGGGGAAGCTCCTATCTTTCTGTTTTGATTTATTCAGATTTGAACATAATAAAATGCAATTTTTTTTCGTTCAAATCCGCTTGAATCCGAAATATCTCAAAAACAATAAAAGATAGAACAATGGTTCCTCGCTTAAATTTTATTTGATGTTTAACGCTCTATCAAACGAAAAAACCTCGCAATCTTATATTTTGAATGGTTTCTGAATGACACGCACAAACACGTTTATGGGACACTTAAAGTCGAAATTTGGGGACCTTAAAATAAAAAAATCTAGGATTTTCAGATTGTTCCTGTTGTTTGCATCCTAAAAGCTACATATGTACCACATTTCAGCGTCCTACCTTGTCAGGAAGTACCCTAGAGGTTTTTGAGACGTACAGATTAAGGTTTATCTATAGATTGCCTCGTGTATGAGGGAACTGAGGGGGTTGTACGCAGGGCCGGATTAAGGATCCTGTAGGCCCTAGCCCCTTCTGTTGTGTAGGCCTTCAGTGATAACTCTGTAGAGTTGGCACTGCTGCTGCTACTACCGCCGCTGTCACTCGCTAAAGCTGATTAAAAAAAAAACTGTCTCCGATCAACCATAGGACAACAACGACTCTATATTGAGAATGAGGTTGTGCGAAAAACACAATTTTTTCATTGCAAATTTTGCAATGAAACAAAAATTCTCCAAAAGTTTATCTCCGGTGTTAATTTCTCTCACCTAATGAAAACAACGATTGACATGATTCTGCCTCTTTGTACATAAACTGTGACTATCCTTGCTATATAAATGTATTCAATTAAGAAGATATCTTTGGTTACATTTTTTTGTTATCATACAAACAAAAAAACACGTGGTCACATTTTGTTTTCGTAGGCCCTTTAGTTTTCGTAAGTCCTAGTAAGGCACTGACTGTGCCTATTGCATAACACGGCCCTGGCTGTACGTCAAAGGTTGCGGCACCACAACAAGAAGCTACGGGGATGAGGCTCCCCGACTCGCGGTGCTGAATGTGAATGCCAACACAGCACCACCGAATGGACAGAGCCCCGGGGCCCTACACGCTCGTGGATGTGACGTGGGGTGCGATAGGCGGACAGCCACGAGGCTGTCAGTTGAGGGCAGTGAATGGAGTTGAAGGGCAGTGAAGGGAGTTGAAGGGCAGATAGAAGGGGGTGGAGCTGTAACATTAAGTTGCATCCTAATAATATAATAAATATAGAAGTGTCGCAGTGGAAGTAGACACGCTACCGGTTGTTCCAAGCGTGGAACAGTATATTTTGTTAAAAAAAATTACCCATTTAGGTTCAAACGTGCAATATTGCCGGAGTCTTCTGTTACTGTGTGTGCGTGTATATCCATATTAGTACAACTTAGGCGGCATTACACGTTTACCTCACCTTCCTGACAACGTCGACACATTTTGTATAAAGAGGCCCCATGATATAGCTGCTCACCTCTGAGCTACACATACTCTGAATGAGCATTGTCTTTGTTCTGGCGTTTTCTGGTCTGACACTAGTGAAAGGAGTCCATAAATAAGGCTGCTTGTCTCTGGTGTAGACCAATCAGTTTCAAAGACAATGCATATTTAATTATAATTATATATGCATTGTCTTTGAATACTATCAAAGCATGTTTGTTTGCATGTTCACCACAAGTCCGTGTGGTTAATGCAGACTTTATTCCTCGCAAAAGGTTTATATTTGGTGTTTGAACATTTTAACACATCTTGTGTTAGTATTGCCCCCAGAGAGGGTATAACCTATTCTTATTGCTCATACGCTTTATATATCACGAGGAGCAAGGGGTGTTGTGGGTTGTTATGTCTCGTCGTTAATTGTTGGCTTCGACCAGATCCGTGTCGTTAAACCCTTTCACCACCAAACGCTGCATCTGCATTAAACGCTCAATCTAGGCGTGAGAATTGTTCTTGGACTCATCTGTGAGTGGGCTGAATCAAGAATAATTGGCGCCTCGTTCAACACTTGGACACAAGACGAATTAAAATTGTTCGGCTCTCAGCGAACTTGTGCAAGTTGTACTTCTACTATATTATTTGGGTCTTTCGATAAAGCCACGTAGATATAATTTTTTTAAAAAATATATCACGACGTTTCGATCGCAACACAAGCAATCATCAGGTGAAAAAAAATGTACATCTACTCTTTTTTTGTATTTATTTGAGCAACTTGCTTACTTTTTCTCTTACCTTGTACTTATATATATATATATTTTTAGATTTTTTGTTGTTGTTGATGCCCCCCCTCTGCTGGAGACCTAAGTAAAGATTCTGATATATTTGGCCAAATCTTTGTGGCCTAACCAAAAAATATATATTTTTTACATTGGCACAGGTAATAGAAGGCTATGCTGTTCTAAGACACCTAATTCAGGATGTGATGAATAAGATTCACGGGCACATGTTTTGTATCCTCGTAAATTTATCATCATCAGCATTGTCAGCCATAATCAATCCACTGGTGGATGCAAGCCTCTCCACACCGTGTCAGCCATGGGGGTGGTTAAACATAATTCACTGTGCGGGTTAGTAAAGTGGGTGCACAATACTTTTAAATTGGGTATTAAAAGTGGTCCAAGGTTGAGAAACACACCAACCATCAGCAACAGTTTTCCCTTTCCAGATTGGCGAGATGTCATCTTCCTCGCCTGGTATACAGGAGGTCGTGGGTTGGATCCCGACCCTGATGCCTGCTGTATATTTGGAATTGCATGTGCTCCCCATGGTCACGTGGAGTTTTCTCCAGGTCCACCAAATTTTTACCTCCACATTTAGAAACATACGTTTAGAGTATTTGGCTGGAATAATTTTCCACGTGATAAGCCACTTCGTTGAGCTATCATTTGTGGTCAGGTCGCTTCTTAAAAAATAGCTATATAGCTCAGTGGGTCTCACCTGGTAAAATAAAAAATAGTTTAGTCTTCATGAAGAGTGCATGGCGTGACCTGGAGAGCGGACACACACATTACATGGCGGAGATATTGGTCGATTTGTTATTTGCCAACGGAGGAACTTATTGACGGATGTGTGAATTATTTCATTAAGGTGCAGGACTATTGATGTTTAAACAGAAAACTTAGCCATCATTGTCATCATCGATCGTACCACTTTTGATAAACTTAATTTGTTTTAGTTTTCATCATATAACTGGTAAATTATTTTGAACGTTTTTAATTCCACATTTAACTCGAGAACCAGCAGCCACAGTGGTGAGGCGGCGCCAATACAGCACCGTGATTATTAATTATCACAGTAATTTGGCACTCACGATTATTTTTAGCCAATGGGTCACTGAAGCGTATTTTAGTTGGCTATTTACAAAATGTAGCCTATCTAGTTATTTAGTCATTAGAGGTCGATTCATCTATGAATTCGTCGCCTGCCATGAGTGGATTGTTTACGCTCACTCAGGAACGCACGCTCACCACGGGAAACACCGCTCGGTCGCCCCATATTTAGACTGAGCCGGTGGAATTCATTTAAATTTGAGATTGAGCCCCGATAGTCCGCCTTCCAAGTAAATAGCCGCACGGAATGAGCCACTCGTAGTTACATTTGTTGGTGTGTTTCTCTCTCTCTCTCTCTGTAATCCCGCAGGCTGGCTCGCTTCTAGTCAACTCGCCGGTTTATTGAGAATTAATGTCTCAACTCATATTTAATGGCACAATGTTTATAAACACCAGCCACGTGGCTGAGCGGTAGAGCGAGCTGCTCGCCATCGTAAGGTTGCGAGTTCAAATCTTGGTTGGGGAGTGGGTTGAATGAGCCCGTCATTCCGTCAGTGCTAGATACAATCTCTACCACTTTGCGAGTGCTTTTTCTACTCCTGCCACGGCAGTGTGGAATGTCCACCCACTGAGGTTCGGGGCTGCAAACAGGAGATAATCGCAGCAGTCGTCAAATGGTTTATTTTGAGCTGGAAAAGAAACAATCGCGTTGACTTCGGCTACTTATGAAAAACGCAGCTCAGAAATCGCGAAACACGCTGAGCGACTACGGCGGCTCCAGCTTCGCAGGGCGCACCTCTACGCTCGCTCACAGCGCACGGCGCGGGTTACTGGGGCGGATAATGACCGTCGTATTGGGGGCCTCAATTAGCGCCGCTGGGACGGGAAGCGAGCGAGCCGCCCACGGGGCCGTTCCTGCCATTTTCCCCGTGTTTACCCAAGCGCCGGGCCAACCCCCCCACCGCCCATGAGTGGCCAGCGGCTGGGTTCTTGTTTTGTGATGTTTTGTTCCCCTTTCCCCTCGGTAAAACTACCCGACGCAGATGGCAGGAGGCTCGCTCTGTGTGTAATGGTACAGGCGGTGGCCCAAGGTTATGAATTAATCGTCGCAATCATGATCAGAACGACTGTGACCACTAAAGTGATCGTGATCTTCATGATCACGAATGCTAGCCACTTCACCACCAAGTAATTTCATAATGATCATCGCCATCAGAATCATGACCACCGACTACTATAATTATGTTACAGTCTCACATTGCTGCAAAGGGTAAATCGAACTTCAATCATATACTGTGCTTTTGTTTAATAAATAATAATATACAGCCCTTTGTCAATCCGCTGCTCGATGATGGTCGTGTGGGTTGCTACTCGATTCCGAGCCATGGCGAGGTGTTGTCGGGGTGCCAGGAGATGGCAGTGCTGTGTCTTTTACTGGTAGGAACGAAGTTGTAAACTGAGTGTACCAGCCTGCAATAGATTAATGTGTCCGTCCGTCCGTCCCCTTTCAATACTTTAACGAGGTGAAATCTCGTGCTGTTGGGTGTAAAATCAGCAATAGACAGCGCAGAGACTTGTCCTACCAGCCCACCCTGCAGGGACCTGTTAGTTGGCTTTGCTGAGGCTCCTCAGATCTCTTTTGCCACACGAAGCCACTTCATGAACGGAATCGGCCAAATATGCGAATGCAGGCCTCTCCTAAAAAAACAACCCTATTGAGACTCAGTGAGGCTTTCTTGCGGAAATCATTGTTGCGAGAGATGGCACGAACCAGACTCTGCAAACTCGCCCCTGCTACAGGGCAGCAATCGGCGCAGTGGTGAACGCGCTGCGATGTGAACCTCACGGCGGGACCCCGGGGTCCCGTAAGCCCCCCGGCTCTCGCATAAACTGCGTTGCGACGTCATTCTATGCCTGTCGAAGGCGAACGATACGGCGATTTTATTCCTCTCCACGAGCTCTACACGATGCGCTAATCAAAGTTTCAAAGCTTTCGTTCGTCTGCGCATTCATCCTCGCTGCTGCGCTTGGACGTTTACACGACAAGAGAATGATCCGCGCCAGGTGGGTCGCGGCGTTTATGTGCGCCGTGGGACGGAGTCGCCAAAAATGAATAAATTCATGGCGATTTTGACTACCGTTTTTTCGGGACCCCGGGGTCCCGCCAATAAGGTTCATATAGCCTACGCATATCATCGGCAAGCAAAGTTAAATTCGCAGCCACGGCCTAACATCCGCAGTGGGTAGTATATACAACGGATCCTGGGTCCACCGCTGTTGCACCAACCTGCACTAAACCAGCATGGTGAAGTATGGTCAAACAACTCCCGTGACTGACAATGGATTGGACGGGGGGAGTGGGGCACATGCCTTCATCCAGCAGTGGATTGACAAAACGCTGGAATTTGATGTATTATCACTCTAGTCTTTAACACAGTGGCCCACATCTCCGGTGGCCTTGTGCACCACTATTTGGGGGGACTGAGAAGGGGACCCCAAAACTCTGTTGTGAGATTCCCGCTAAAGCATAACAACAACACTGAGACCGGGGACGAGCCAAGCCCCATTTGCGGCACCGTGTACACACGCATTCCTCACGTTGCGTGCAGGGTTACGGATCAGTGCACAGCAGCTTCCTAGCACGGAGACGGAGGCAGCTATGGGCGCCCGATCAGATATCTCACGAGTCGTGCGCCACGTGGGGAGGGTGAACGTCAATGGTAGCGGTGCTTATAACAACAACAATCATAGCAGTACTTAGGGTTGCATGTATGCATGTTGAACTGCTTTCGCACCGTACGCTGACGCTTTTTCCACTGTGTACCGCACCGGGACCTGTTTCTCAGTCGGCGCGAGGTCTATCAGAACTGCGCAGTTCACTGCGATAGCAGAATCAGAATCTTTGTTTATCCTGGGAAAAAAATATCCGATGAGCTACGCAGCTCATTTTTCACAGATGTCCACCACCAGATCTGGGCTACAAATCCATTCCTGCTGCCCGAAGGGCTGTACTGGGTCAAGCCCGCAGAGGTTTGGTAACCCCGAACCAACGTGACCGCGTAGGTTTTCGAGGTCGTTTTTGAGTTGATGTCCAACGTTTCACTCCTCCAACTGGGAGCTTCTTCAGGAACCGATCCAGGAAAGTTCCAGATGCCTCCACGTTGGGCGAAACGTCGGGCACCTGTCGAACAGCGAAAACACGGAGCACAAAATATTAATTTTTAATTTATAGCCCATTGTCACCCGAGTGCAGTGGCAAGGCCTCCCCCGTGCCGTGGCAGTTATGGGGGCTGTTTGACCATACTTCACCTTGCCGGTCAGTGCGGGTCGGTTAAGGCGGCACCCCAGAACTGGTTCAGATATGGCTCGCTGTTGATGTTAACTCTTGACTGGTTTGGAGTCGAGTGTGCTAACCACTGTGACATCGCTCATCGCCGATGTATTTATGTGGACAATACAGGAGGATTTGATTTTTGAGTGCAGTGAAGAATTAAATAACATTTTAATGTTTTTGTGTGTGTGTGTGTGTGCAGTCGTTGGAGTCCACTGTACCCGAGAACTCGGTTGCATCACAGGCAGCTGAAACCTGGGTTCAAACCCAGGATCTCAGCGCTCTGGTTTCGCCAGTTGTGACGTTTATGTATTTAGCTACAATTTGTGTTCGGATCGCCGACTCTCACCCTCTCACGCTCCTCCTGTTCCTCCACCAATCCCGTGTGTTTTTGTTTTGTTTTTCCCCAGCAGGTGACGACCGCACGCCTCCTCCGCGCTTCGACCCAGCCAATGACACCGATGCTAACCAAAACAGCAGTAGAGATGGCAGCAGCGAGGAGGGCAGCTCATGGACAAGGCCCCTTGCCTGCTCCGCGCTGCCCGCCTTCACCTTCCTGTTCCTCTGGGGGCTCTTCAACTGCGCCATCTTCGCGCGGCGCGGGGCGGTCGCCCCCGCCGCCGCCGCCGCCGCCGACGGCGACGACGGCGACCGTCTGCGCTGCTTCGCCGCAGCCGCCAACGCGCTCCTGCTCGCGTTCGCGGGCCTCCGCGTCGCCCTCACGGCGCTCGTGCTCTCGTCGGCCGAGCTGCAGGGGCTGATCGCCAGCTCCCCGACGCCGCAGCTTCGCGGAGAAGCCCGCGGCGGCTTCTCCGCCGCGCTGGTGGCGGCGCTGAGCCTCCACGAGCTGGCACTGCCCTGCCTGGCCGCGGCGTTCGCTGCGCTGCTCCTGCACTTCGTCCCACCTGCCGCCCGCAAGCCCCTGCCGTCGTCGCCGTCGTCCTCCTCTTCCCTGTCGCTGATTTCGTCGTCCCTTCCGTCGCCGGCGAGCGGCCGCGCCCGCGGCGCCCTGCTCGCCGTCGTCTTCTCGACGCACCTGTGCGTGGCCGCGCTGGCGTGCCTCGCCTTCGCGACGCGGCCGGCGAAGGCCGTCTTCCTCCTCGCCGTGCCGCGGGGATTCCTCGTCGCCTGGGGCCTCGCGCTCGCCGGCGTTTGCCTGGCCACGGCGGCCTGCGGGCCCCTGGGCGGCGCCGGCCGGAGCGACCGCCGGCAGGCGTCGACAGCGATCGGAGCGTGCTTCGCCGGCTCGTCGTGCCTGCTGATGCTCGCGTGCTGCCTGCACGGCGCCGAGGCCGTCTTCGCGGTGCTGGGGGTCGGCGCGGGGCCCGGGGTGGGGCCGCCCCTGCTCGCCGCCCGTCTCGTGTGCGAGCTGTGCGCCGCGCTGGCGCTGTGCGCCGCGTCGTCGCTGTGGCTGCGTCGCGGACCCCGCGCCGGTTTCGCCGCCGCCGCCGCCGCCTCCTCCTCCTCCTCCTCCTCCTCGCGGCGGTGGCAGCAGCAGGATGAGGCGGAGATGACGGACGAGGCGCGAAAGCGACGCGCGAAGCGGAACGGAAGACACTCGGCACCGTTGAAGCACGCGGACGTCATGGGCGCCTCCTACGACAGCGTGAGGCCGGCGCTGGCGGGGGAGGCCCGGGAGTCGGCGCCGGATCCTCCGAGCCCCCGGTGCGTGGCGGACGGCGTCGCGCTGGGGTCCGCCGTGAGGTTCAGCGTCGGGGACGAGCGAGTTCAGCTCCTCCAGGGCAACGGGGAGGAAGAAGTGGACGACGAGGTGGAAGGGGTGATGCTCGGTGTGACCCCGGTTGACCGCAGCAGCGGCGGCGGCGGCGGCACCAGTAGCAGCAGCGAGAGCCAAGCGTGCAGCTGGCGCGACGCGGCGATCGGGAGCGAAGACGACAACCAGAGCAGCCTTCGCGAGCTCACGCAGAGGACGAGGTACGGCAATTTCGCCGGCGGCGGTGGCGGCGGCGGCGACTATGATGTGCCGAGCGGCGCCTTCCGAGCCGGCGATTTCATGTGGGACGACTTCATCCGACCGCCGTCGCCGATAAACCTGCAGGGGAGCATCGACGATGCGCTGTGGCGTCGCTCGCTCATAGTCAGGAGCCTCTTCGAGGAGGAGGAGGAGGACGATGATAATGAGAAGCGGGTGGCCAGGAATGCGGGTGAAGATGGATAGAAGCCATGTACTACTGTATATGCGTGGACAGCCCATTTTATTTGTCAGTCCATTTTATTTGTCAGTCCACTGCTGGATGAGGGGCCTTCCCACACCTGCGAGAGTCGTGCGAGGCTGTTCTATTTACCGCACGCTCGGTTGGTGAAGGTGGGGGGGGGGGTAGATGTGGGAGCATAGAAGTACAGTACAGCAGAGGATTTTGCCACACTGACATCTGCTGCCCAGCACGCGATAACCCCACTGCAGCCCGGTCATGAACTCGTTCGTGAATGGCGGTGATCATCCGTCCAAGGCGAGGAGGGGCTTGAGTAGTACGCCGGAGCGCAGCACGGCGACAGGCTGGGTGGTTGAGGGATCGTGGCTGATGGAGGGGATGGCTTCCAGCTCACCGTGTGTGTCCCCCGGTGAGCAACCGCAGAAGTTTCGTAGCGCTATCAACGCTCAAATGCGGTCGTACGCAAAACAAGCACACCCGCAGCGGAAGAGTTGCACATCTTCCCCGGGGGGGGGGGGGGGGGAAGGCTTCCGTCCGTCGATGGCTCGCCTAGACTTTTTGAAAAATGGAATTAAACATGAACGTGCACTAGCCAAGCACAGCTGCAAGCGATGTTTGGTGTAATCGTTGTTGTTGTTGTGATGCAAGGGCTGTTATTTAATGGTGGTGATGATGGTGAGCGTTTACACTCGGCTGTCTCGCACCATACCACGCATTGTGGGCAACAGAGGGCGCCAATACTCAACTGAATAAACCCGACTCGACATTTGTGTATGCTGAAGTGTCTCTTCAGCATACTCGACAGCCTTCCCGATACCCTAACCCTCCAAACTTGCAGACGATCCAAAATAACGATGCCAAAACTCCTCACCCGCACCAATAGATGAGACCACGTCAGCACAATGCTGCTATCTCTCCACTGGGTCCCAATCAATGCCACATCAATTTCAAGATTGCTCTCAACGTGTTCAAGATGCTATATGCACTTGCGCCTGCATGTCGTCACTTTCATCTTGCTCAACTCCTCTCCATGAACTAACTCTCTGTTCCAGAACCTTCCTTCTCGCCTGGTATACAGGAGGTTGTGGGTTCCATCCCGACCCTCACGACTGTATATTTGGAGTTTGCATGATCTCTCTCCCCGTGGCTCCGTGGATTTTTATTCGGGTCCTCCGGTTTTTAACCTTCCACATTTAGAATCAACGTGCGATTCGAGTATTTGGACTATTGGCGGTACACCAGTGCAGCAAAACACACCGGTCCTCATAAACAGCGTCTAAAATCTAAATTTGAACCGATGTTCGTCTTCTGACTGCTTTGACATCACAAGAACTGATTTTGACACACCACCACCCCGCAAGATTTTCTTACCAGGGTTGCGAATCGCGGGAAAATAAATAATTATCGTGTTTTATTGTTTTACCGCAAACCGATGTACCGCCAATTCGTTAATGTGGCTGCTATAAATTTACACTTGGCGAGCCACTTCGTTGAGCTATCATTTTTGGACAGGTTGTTTCTGAAAAAGAGCTACATAGCTCAGTGGGCCTTACCTGGTAAAAAAAAAGTTTAGTTTAAACATGTGCACAGGGGCACTGATTATTTGAGGCTCCCCAAAACACTCTTTACGGTTTGTGTCCCTTCATGCCTTTGTCTTTCTCTGCATCTTTCTCACGATGTGTCTCTAAGTGGCTTATGTAGAAATTTAAGCGGCCAAATGCTCAAAGTATGTTGATTCTAAATTGTGAAGGGAAAAACCGGAGGATCTGGAGGACAATCCAGGCGCCCTTGGGGGGAGAAAGAGAGACACGCAGACCCCAGCGTCAGGGTTGGGATTGAACCCACGACCTCCTGCATAACAGACGAGGGAGATGGCACTGGGTCATACCAGAGGAAAGAATATCCACCACTGGCTGAGGACTGCTGATGGTGACAAGGGCCTTCTAGCACTTCCTACAACACGGGGAATAGTTTTGTAAATACTTCATACGAATAACGGTTTTTAAAAGCTTTTAGACAAAATACATGTATATATTTATATATAAAAAGTACGGGTCGCACAAACAGGCTAATTCTTAACAAGCCGTAGAGAGGATAACACTGGTAGGCAGGCACAGAATGAGAAACCCTGGGGCCAGCCAAGTGCCACTTTGTCTGTAACCCAAAGCAGTTTCAATAACACTCGCGGGTGTTGAAAGAAGCAAATAATACAAGGGGGGTGGGTTCATGTAACCAATCGCTGACGGACAAAGCGAGACCGTGCAATGGAGTAGAAAAAATTGAGTGGAGAACTCACGGCCCCGCCTTCCACGAGGGGGCTACCACTTAAGACACGGCCAGTAAAACGATATGTATCCGACCCTGCAAAGGATCTTAGCAGCACTGCTCGGGTACGAGAGGAGGTCTTGCGTGCTCGGTCACTCCTGTCACTTCAAGAGGTCCTCGCATGCGAGAGGTGATTGTGGCGTGCGCGCGTCTGAATGTGGTTGCTCGCAGAGGGGAGCGGTGTAGCGCAAGTGGTTCGCGCTACGCTAAGCTACGGAACTTGGCGTCCCAAGTTCGATTCACGCTCACGACCAACACCAGTGTGACGATTATCTGAACTCGTCCTGGGCCTCCCCTAGGTTGACTCAGCCTCAAATGAGCACCTGGTGTAGTGTGTAAACATCGCCACTCGGGAGACAAAGGCGTCTAGGCATGGTGCTGGCCACCCAACCCCTCAAGTGCCACGCCAGCCTTTACAGGTGCTCGCTGAGAGCACTTGTCCCAAAAGTCTAAGGTTATACGGGGGATTGTCTGCTCGCAGTCGTGCGGTAGTAAGCCCACTGCGCTATGAACCTAGCGACCCGAATTCGATTCCAACTCGTGACCCTTAAGTGATATTTGAACTGGTCTTGGGCGTCCCCTAGGTCGACTCAGCCTTAAATGAGTATCTTTTGTGGTGTGTAAACATAAGCACGAGGAAGGCGAAAGGTTGCCAGGAGTGGTGTTGGCCACCCTTGTTTGCTAAATGCTCGCTAACAGCACGTGCCCCAACAGTCCGTCAAAGGCAATATGGGGAATCTTTGTTTTGGTTGCTGGCCAAAGGTATAATATGAAAGTCCCAATTCTAACTATTTTTATTTTACCAGGTAAGGCCCACTGAGCTGTATAGCTCTTTTTCAGAAGCGACCAGGCCACAAATGAAAGCTCAACGAAGTGGCTCATTGCGTGTACTTTTATAGCAACCAAATACTCTAAACGCGCGTTTCTAAATGCAGAGCGCTAAACTGGAGGACCCGGAGAAAAATCCACATTACCACGAGGAGAGAGACATGCAAACTCCAAATATACGACAGGCTTCAGGGTCGGGATCGAACCTACCACCTGTATTCCAGGCGAGGTAGTTAACATCTCGCCCCTCGGCAAGGTAAAAGTTTCCCCCCCCCCCCCGAACCTAATGCTGCATCCAAACGCGGGGGGGACTTGTTGCTTGTGTGATGTGACAGAGAGGCAAACACGTCAGTCTGCTGCAGGGCGTCGGGTTTATTGAGATCCCTGGTGGCCGAGTGGGGGGCAGCCACTGCTCCGACACCACCTCCATCGGTACACACGTCACAACTCGACCGTTGACGATCGGCCGTCTCGCCAGCGACAGCTGTAATGATTCCGGCATAATGTTCACATTCACCGTCGTAATTGGCAGAAGTGTAACGATTCACCAGCAACGGCGATTTTGATGCAATTCCGTGATACGACTTGAGAATGAATTTCTTAAACATTGTTTTCAACGTCGTGGTTCATGTAGCGGCCACTAGTGGTTGCAGGAGTCACACGAATTCCATTAATACAGCATATATAAAAACGTCGATTACAGAGACAATTGAACGCATATATCGTGAGCTTACGATACAACATTGATGAGAAAGTGCAATCGTTACACCTCTAGTAAATAGATTTGGTATATTTCTTAAGACAGCAATTGTTGTAACATGCTATAATGCTACAGATAATACCAAAATATTACTGCCACAAAATCATCATTATCGTCGTTTTCATTAAACAACTGTTACACTGGCAAAAGACAACAGGACGCGTGGGGGGCCACATTGGGATGTCCGTACAAGTTGGCAATGCTCTAAGTTAATAAGATGCACCCTCAAAACCGGGGGCGGCGTTCAGGCGTGATGACATCTTCAGAATGCCCAGTGATGCACGTGCAATGCATCGGCAGACAGACTTGTGTGGGGCATTCCTCAACAACGGCAACAACAAAAAGACCGGGCGATGGATGAACCAACGAACAGCGGATTAATGCCACAGGGGTATCATGTAAAAGCTGGCGTCATCGGCAGGACAAAGTGCTTGTGATGCAGCGTTGGTATAAAATTCTGAAGTTGATCGTTCGTTGCGCACGCAGTTCTTCATAATGTACGCGGAAATGGTAATGCAATGAATAAATTTGTAATCGGAGCGATATGAGCCATGCATGTGCGTTGTCCGATTGTGGTTTTGTTTATGTTCACACACGTGACCACGTGTTCACAGGTGTGACCACGTGCTCACAGGTCTGACCATATGCTTGCAGGTGTGATCATATGCTCCGTTTGGCTATGGGACTCCATAGGCAAGTTCATATTGAGTGAAGTCATCCTTCTTTTCAGGCCAATTTGAATGTGTATTTAAAACTTAAGCGCCAACAGAACACACATCACTCCAAAAATCAGCCAACGCAGTAGCTTAAACTGGCTTGGCTTATCTAACAACACTGTACAATTAGAGCAGGGCAGTTATCACAAAGTGCTGTGTTGTATGACACCCAAGTCTCATGGCACCACTACCACAAAATGGTTACTGCCGTGCAGATTGGGAGCCAGATAGATGGGAACTCGGCTCAATTGCAGCAATGTCCAGAGACACAATTTTACTGTTGTTTAACATTGTGCATGTAAGCGCAGTTGGACAAGCATTGATCCATACGAGCATCGTACAACAAAACCATTATTGATTGCCCAGCCATAAAGTACAAAGTGTGGTTTAAGACATACCTGTAATCATTTAGTTTTATATATGTAATTGTATATAACAGGAAGCACCTATCAATCCAGAGTATAAAATCTATTTGGTCACACAAATTATCTGAACGTGCAAAGTTCAGAAAGCTCGATGGGAGATCCTGCGACTCTTGGTCAGTTTGCAGAGCCGCCGGTCTCCTGGTATCGCTGCATGTGGGTGCAGGGGACCCAATATAAACACCAACAACGAGCCGCGTGGCTAACACGGGTGGGAAAAATCTCGTCATCACGCGCCGAATAGGACTTTCAAATACCTTCATTGGATCGCACCATCACTAAAAAAGCGATCACGTTAGGTCGGGATGCATTGCATGTGTGCTCAGATATACTTTCAAGGCAACATGTAATTGAGCATGATAAAATTAGAAATCGTGTTGCCAGATTTAAAATTTTCCGCCCTCTAGTACTCAATTAGCGCGGCCCATATATTGGAAGGCCTCGTGTGGCTGTGGGCCGCACGAGGCCTATCCAGCCTGCAGGCCTTAAAGATTGCCCACCCCTGCATTAACGCAATAATTATCTGGCAACAAATGGAAAACTGGTATGTAATTCGAGCTGTGTATTGTTTTGTATAATGTCTGGTATGGCATCTCCTTTTTGGGAGTGACCTGAAGAGTACCCTAACCTCAAGTTTCCCCCCCCCCCCCTCGGCTCAATGGGTAATGTTTTTGCCCTACTGGGCTGGTATCCAAAGTGTTCTTAAAAAGTAGTTCTGGATAGGGACAAGAGTGAATATAGACCAAGCTTGTTTTGGTGGGTATTTTAGTGGTTAATCTACATGTTGTACAACTTCATAGGTTTTTGCAGTGGTGCTGCGTATGGCTCGCCGATGTGTTCAGTTATGTACCGGAGAACACGCAGCACAAGGCAGACACTGTTACATGAGGGAGGGTGAGGATAGAAATGTTATGTGAAGGTTGCAAACGGGTTTAAGTAAAAAATAAAGTAGCGTTCTCAGCGACGGTCGTATTTTTCAATGCCTGTTGGTCAACAGCGACCGGTCAAACTATTAACGTCAACAAAAACGTATAAAATTTTAAGAAAAAATGTATTCCATTTGTCTGGTCATAGGTTTTTATAAAACAACAAAGGGGAGAACACAATGCCAATTAAAATATTTCTGCTAGATATTAGCCAATTTAAAAATGTGCTGTGAAAAAGTATTCCCATGTTTGTAGTGGCTTGGGTATTAAAAAAGTAAGGTCTGAGTGGCATGAAGGCCCTTTTACCGAGACATTATCAGGTACCCTGATTATTCACAGCACAATGCAGTCTGTATGTGTTTATTGCCTAACAATTTCCGCTACAAGTACGGTCTTAAGGCTGCACACGTACAACTGTAAAAGCACCTCATTTCATTACAAACCAAAGTAATGACAACTGCACAAATGAGTTGGCAAAGTACAATTTTACCTTTGATTAAAAATTGCACTTCAGGCCTCAAGGACCACCACAGCATCGAGAAGTCAGAGGCAGAGTAGATGTCATATACGTTTTTCATCTTAAAGAGCCTGATCTTTTCAGATGTATTCAGAGTTAACATCGAAGGTACCAAAATATTTATATGGCAATTGAGGGTGAATTATTTGATAACACCACTCATATCAAATGGTTATTACATAATTCAATGTTATTGGCCACATAAATAAATTCTAACCATGGCTGTGATGCCAACTCAGGTGGTACCAACAAGTGAACGTCTGGCCTTGGCTCACAATCTAACAACGGGCAGCACATCAGTCCATCGGCATTTTATCGGCTGCTACGATAAACACCGGCTGGTGGCATGTGCCCGCATAACCGCACACAACTTTGATACGGACCTCTCGCACCCGTGGCGGTGAGCGTTTTTTTTTTAAACTCACGAAATGGGACTGGCAACCATAAAACTTTCGTGCCTCCCCGCTCCGACCCTTCTGCTGCCCTCGCATGGCCGCGAGGTGGCATAAACCCGAGCTCGCTTGATTGAAAAACGGCTGCAGTGAAGTGGTGCGTCTGGCCCACGAGGCGGTGCACCTCTCATCGAATAATAACGGTGTGTTGTCCTCGAAATATTGGGCCAATTCTGAGGTGGAGTGTCCCGGTATATCTGCTTTCTTAATAAAAAAAACCCCTCTAATTTCCATAAAGACCAAATTTGTCTCCAATTACAGCATGCAATGTTATTTATATTGCGTTTTTGGATTATACAATCTAAAAAAATAAAAAAACCACAAGACAATTCTCCAATGTACAATGGTATGCGCTAAAGTAGTTACTGTAAAGTACAGTGCTACGCTGTGACCGGCTTGGCATGTAAGGTTTATGCGTGGTGTGGAGATGCAGCTGACGAGGCAGCATTGCTGTGTGCTATTCCAATTTTTGGAGTTTTGGGAAAGCGAGACAAAATCTTTTCATTTTCTTCCACATTTTTAGGAGTCCACCCACGATATTTCAAGGATGCACCATAGACAATAATTGGGTGAGGGTGTGTTTCAGCTGCAATGCATCATGAGAGATTCCCATAATGCCTTACCAGCATTACATGACACGTCTGTACGTGTGTGCACCACCGCCTGGTCTTCACTGCTCTCAGGGACGACATGCCCCTTTCACTGCAGGTCCGTCTTATTTATGTTTTCATTTTACAATTTTTTTCTCTTTTTTTTCTCTTTTCCCCATCTATACGAGTTCCACCCCACAGTTAACCTAAAGCACTCCTTGACTAACAATGACATCGAGGCACAAGCGATTTTTGAAGATCATTTACAAAGTGCACTATTAAAAATAAAAATATGCATCCCATCGATGCAGAGTCAAAACCCCACGCTGTGCAAAAAGGGAGCACTGTTAAGCTTACTGATGTAATTGTAACATAATGTAACAATTCCACTGTAATATTTGTTTTAGTTGATGTTACCAGCAGGGCCACGTAAGGTTTATATGGGCATCACATAGTAACTTAAGTCAGTTTCCAAGCAGGGTGGATATAAAGTTACGTGTATAAGATAACCTGCAGACTTGACACTACACGTACAGTATATTTTATGTGATAATCACATAATACAGTGACTTCTGAACTTTACTGGATTTTTATTAAAATAGTTGCACTATTAAATGGCTGTTTCCATCCACATTATGATTTCACAAAAAAAAGTCGAATCAGAGAAAGCCCCTTTTCGATACAGATATTTCCTTTTTGCATGCAATCCCGACTGTATTTGTGATCTGCAGCCATCCCGAATGATCCACCTCTAGAAAATATAATGGATTGACTTAAGTTCCCGATGCTGATCACAAAAAGCAATGCGAAGCAATCTCCAATGGCGATTTCAATCGTGAATGGCACAATTTTTCGGGTCAAAATGTGCGTATCTGATCTCAAACAACAAAGCGAGCGCACACACTTGCCAAGCTCACTTCTCGACGTGCACACAAATTGAACCCGGACAGTGCGATAATAAAAAAATAAAAAAACTGGATGGAAACAGATGTACAGATAAACCAATCCTGACAATTTTTTTTCTTTCCCTGATGGGAAACAACACAAGTAAGTAGGCTGAAAACAAGTGTTACACGCAAAAGGTGATTTATGAGTTGGTGGTTTAAAACAAGGGCGTGTGCGTTATACACACAGAATAAGATAGCGTCATGTAACAAACAAGGCATAATGGGAGCTGTGACCCTGAAGTCACAATTGTGTCTTCTGTCAATTCGAAATCACCTTTTGCCCATATTATTATTATTATTCTCGGACCTAAATATTTCTCTCCTGTGACCGCTTGTGCCTCGATTCAAACTGGAGCGCCCCCTACGCCCATTCACCGCCACTCCAGGCTCGCCCTATGTGGGGGAAGCCAGGGGAGCGTTGGGCTGCCGGGGGGTGGTCGGGCCGGCAGCCGCCTCCTCTAGGCGGCGAGGCCCACAGAGCTGGGAGCGCGGCTCATGCCGTTGAAGTAGACCTTGTCGCGGGCGCTCATCAGCTCGAAGTGGATGGGCATCTTGCAGTAGCTGCACTCGGCCGAGGCGTGAGGACGCAGGTCCAGGCCGACGCTTTTCCACGCGGTGGCCAGCTTGTCTGCGGCGGGGAAGGGGCAGTGGGCGGGTGGGAGAGTGGGCGGACGACAGGTGGAGGCGCGATGTCAGCATTGCGACCGTTCGAAGGCCGTTCCCCCCACAGTGGTGCAGTCACCCGTCGAATTGATAATATTAAAATGACGTGGATTTATCCAGGGATAAAAAACACCAGCAGATGACAGCACAGCAAAATCAATTGTTTTGCTGCACTATGCTCCCTGCCTTTACCATCACGTACTGATCAGTGTTGTCAAGTATGGTAAAATAACCCACTCTTGACCTGCACGAGGTGGACGAGACCCTTAACCAGCAGTGGGTGGACTATAGGGGCTGTACATGCACACATTTATTTCTGAAAGCTCTTCCGAGTCTGCAGCTCGCATTACGTAGCTGATGCTTTCACCCCGACTTTGGGTCAGGATGGGCACTCAATAATGTTTATCAGAGATACTGTAGGCGTAGATGTTGAACCTTTAATTACGATGCCTCATTTACTCAATAACTGTGGAAATATGAATGCGAAAGACAATAATAAAATATATATTTAAACATTAATAACTATTTAAACATTAATAAAATGTCTGCTGGCTGAGTCGCCCTTGACAGCTCAATCGCCTCACTTGGGAAATAAACTTCTGAACTTCTTAACTGCAAACTAGATTCGAAACTTTCGTGACTGCAGGAATTACTCTTTGGTTCTTTCTGTAAAGTAAAGTAGAAAATAAAAGAATAATAGAATTCGACGTTTCGATTGTAACACAAGCAACCATCACCAGGTAAGAATGAATGAAAAAAAGTGAGCTACTAGTCCTACTAGTCTTGCAAGTGATGCTCTTTGAAATCCATACCTACATGCACACAGCTCGAAGGGTCTGGTGGACATGGCACTGTTGGATGCCACCTTGAAACAAGTAACGCAATTCACATCACCCGAGCCAGCGGCGGGCACATGGAGGGTTCAGATACGACATCGTCGGAAAAGGCGAAGGCTAACAAGTTTTCTGCAAGGCTCAACTGGGAAACAGTGAGTTGGCAGTCCCTCCCATGTTAACGTTGTTATACCCACCACTCAATCACTAGCCCCGCACATATGTATCGAGTGGCCTTCTGGATGTTTCTGATGGTGGTCCTGCCTTCTTCCAACAGGTTCCGCCTACTCTTTTGCCAAGCCCACCCACTATTAAGGTAGCCCCACCCTTTGCAGGCATCACGAGTCACGCACGAGGCCAGAAAATTCGAAATTGGGGCCAATATTCAAATTTCCAAAAAAGCTTCAGGACACAGGGCCAGCATTTATGAAACTTGGACGACCGATTGATGAGACGTTGTGAAAAGGCGCAACACAGAACCGCACGCGGGGGTGAGAGGCAACACAGCGGCGCTCTTACCAACGAAGAACTGCATCATGCGCGGCGTGTGGTGGGGCGTGACCGCGATGCGAAGCATCTCCTCGCCACGAGGCACCGTCGGGTAGTTGATGGCCTGCACGTAGATGTTGTGTTGGGCCATCAGCTCGTTGCTGATCTCTGTGTTCTTAGCAGCGTTGGCGACCTGCAGGGGTGCGGTGGGAGGCAGCGGTTTAATGTCGAAAAACCCGTTTAGCCTCAACTCTCTCCCATGTGTTTTTGCCTGTTAAGCGGTCCAACACCGAAAACGCATCGGACAGCTATGCTGCACAACTGTGAAACGCTGCATCGACGTTGCGCCTTTTGTTAAAATGCCTTGTGCACATGGAAGGAGACTGAATCTGCACCGACAGTATGTCCTCAAATTACTGGACTGATTCAGGCGTGGGATGCACTGGTATCTCAGGTTCTATAACAAAACCCCCGTTACTTCCATTAAGACCAAATCTATCCCATTCATAGCTTGTGATGTTATTCAGTTTGATTTCAAAGTGAAAGGCAATTCTAAAACACACAATCGAATTCTAAAGTTGTTACAAATTGAATATGGTAGCAGTTACAAGACCTCAAGAGTTCAGCGCCCATAATAAATTTGCTTCTGCACCTCATTTGGCTAACTTCCATCTCTTCCAATTAAAAATATTGATTTTCACTGCCATATAACGAACGATTATCCCAGTGGCTGAGAAAGTGCAAAGTACTGCCCCCTCCTGTATGGATCAGAGGTCACGTGAAGGGATGTTACGCGCTAGCTCCGTGATACCCACTTCTGTGAGCAATTCTCCAACAAATATTTGCACTGCTCTAAGAATTCCGAATGGATATACTTAAGTCTTATGAGAGACCATATCGATCGCACTCTCCAGATCAAATCTGGAAAAAAAATATTCATTTTACATTTACAAAAAAAAGCATGGCCTCACCAGCACAGGAATGATGTGGCTGGGGCAGTGAATCACGGGCAGCCCGGCATCCATGAGCAGCTGGCGCATGTACTTGACGTTGCGCTGGTGTGAACGGCGCAGCGCCTGCCCCTCGGCACTGCGCAGCACGCGCACGCTCTCCAACGCGCCGGCCAGCACCATCGGGGGCAGCGCCGTGGTGAAGATGAAGCCGGCGGCGTAGGAGCGCACGGTGTCGATGAGCGACGCCGTGCTCGCCACGTAGCCGCCCACGCAGCCGAAGGCCTTGCCTGCCGGCGCGGAATAAAACATGCATGGGCACACGGAACGCACGCACGCAAGTCACATTGGGTCTAGATTTAAAACGAATTTCTCAAGAACTGCTTTTTGAGTTGAATTTGTCATCCTTTCCTCCCACACCTCCGATTAGCACGGTTGGCTACGTACGCTGTGAAACAGGTGCACCATACATACATAGACACAGCCGGCAAACAAATGGACAGACGGAGCGTGGCAGCATAATTCGCGCTGAAGTGTAAAATGCAGAGACATCGTCAAATAAAAAGCTTGTGCTACTTGCGGCTTTGGTGATGGAAATAGGGATAATGGAGAAAAATATACCAAATGTATTCATATATTTATTTCTGTGTTACCAAAATGTAAAGTTTGCCACTACAGGAGACAATACTGATGAAGTGAACCAGGAATAATATAAATTTTGATTTAAAGCTTTCGTGACTGCAGTGATTCATATTCTTGGTTCTTTCGGTAAAGTCACGTTGAAGGGAAACATAAAATATATATTGTTTTATATATATTTTATTATTTTATTGTTTCCCTTCAACGTGACTTTACCGAAAGAACCAAGAATATATACAGGAATAACACATTAAGTTAAAATGGATACATGACACAAATTTAAGTTTAAGACTGCTGGCACATACAACCATGTAAAGTTTCTGACACACGTACGGATTGCCTGAAACCACATGTAACGCTGGGAAATTCTGGGGTTACAGCTGAGAATGTGGAGTGACAGGGCAGGGCACCTTGGGCAAGCAAGTCACGGCACTGGCAGACACCACTGGCCCACACCCCGACATAAGTGAAGCAGAACTCCGGTTACCTTGTTGACAACGTAAACAGCTGCTATTTCGTCTCCCTAGATGACGGTGATGGCACCACGACTTTTGTGCCAGACTAGGTGCACTTTGAGGGCAGATGAAGTGTCAGAAGTCTCAGTGGCAGGTGGTCATGGGACAGACAGATACATGCCCTTGACACAGGAATGCACTTTTGCATTGTGTACCTTTAAAGACTTTAGATGGCATCCCTGGTTTTATAAAGTTTTTTTTTTAAAGCTGCATAAAGTCAAATTCTGTCACAAATCTGTCTTCAAGGGAGAAAGTATTTGGTTTAATTTTTTAACGGTAAATTGCTTTCAAATCTCCTGCACTAATCGTGCATCGTATAAGACGATGCATGATTTTTGTGTTTAATTTGTCATCCTTCCCCCTCACCTCCGATTAACACGGTTGGCCATGTGCAATGCGAAAGAAGTTCAACACATTACAAATATATAAAACGGACTCGTTGTATATATCAAGATCAAAGAGTTAATTTGTTCTTTAGACTTCCTCCCAAAAGGAAACTCTTGCTATTTTGTTGACAGGTATTAAGGAGCTGGAAACCCAAGGCGTCGGCACACACTAGAAGACTGTGTAGCGCACTGGACACAAAGCATCGGTCCACCGAGGGATCTCACTCTATGCTTAAATTTTCCGATGGCTTCGTTAAATCATCACGAGGTAATTAAACAAAAAAAGGCCCTCTGACAAAAAAGGGCTTAAACTTGAACTCGCATGGACGATCACAGGGGCGCCTCTTTTAATGATCGTAATACATTCATCCTTCTCATTAATGGCTACTGCAGTGTTACACTTGGGGAGGGGGGCTTTAACGATTTGATTAGTTTACTTGAGAAGTGCTGCCGTGAACACGTTAAAAGCACAAGCTAAAAAAGACATCTAAGGAATTGCATGGGGGGAGAGATAATAATACTACAAGCAAATAGAATAAATAAATAAATAGACCGTGCATGCGAATGCATACGACCTTTCCAACGAGGGAAAGTTTATGCTGCAACGGGTGGGACGTGCAAAAGCAGGGAGGTGGAATGCCGCTTCCTGCACGTCCGACACGTACACACATTCACGGTCACGTGCCCAATAGAGGGAGGGTGTTCAGCAGCGACCACACAACGGGGAGGGGTCCGCTTCGAGGTCGCGTGAAGGAAACGTCCAAAGGACCCCCAGCAGCTCACATCACACAACCCAACGGAAGAATTCAGCAATGTCCTGGTGACCTTGGATGGAGCGGTGGTGGTGACACCATATCCTTGTGTACAAAGCCAGTCTTAACAGATGCTCGCTAGCATCACTTTCCACAACAGTCTACGTAGGTTATAGGTGGACACTTTTTCGTGCAGGAGGTAATTAAAGGTGTTTGCGGAAGGAGAGGTAATATTGATTGTGATGGAGGCGAAGGTTGTAATGATTGTGGTGGTTCTATCTGTGGTGGTGGTGGCGGTGACGGAGGCAATAAAGTCGTAGAAAGGAAACGCATGTTGAAACTTGTGCTTCAATGAAGTATCGCTATTTGGAGTGCCGATTCAAATCCAGAAACAATTATAATTTTTGCCAGTGCGTTCAATGCAGAATCTGCAACGAATAGAAAGTTAACGCGATGTGATTACATGAAACAATGCAGCATTACACACACAGCAGTGGTGGTTGTGTTGGGGGTGGCATAGCTGGGATGGTGGCGACTGTTTTAATTTTGGGTTTGCGGCAGACTCGGTGTTTTTGCAGTGGTCTCTTTAACGTTGGCCACATCCTGCGCTCCGGGTCATTTCGTGGCTGTGGCCGTGACGCCAAGGGCCATACCCAGGGTGCCAGTGATGATGTCCATCTTGTGCATGACGTTGTCGCGGTCGCCGATGCCGCCGCCATTGGTGCCGTACAGCCCCACGGCGTGCACCTCGTCCACGAAGGTGATGGCGCCGTATTTGTGAGCAATGTCACACATCTCCTCCAGGGGGCACACAGCGCCTGCGGGGGAAATTGCGGGAGAACCGATGAGCCCTGTACCAACATTTCAACAACAACCGTCGTTCAACACGAAGCAGCGGTGACGTCACCATTGCGCCTCTGCCATGCTTGGTGCACTTCGAGGCCACGTGAAGTGTCGAAGGCCCGCTGGCAGGAGGTCACGGAACAGACCCAGGTGCAATGGGTTGACCGACTGAGATGCACCAACTGTGCTCCCCACTGTTCAATCTCTCTGCCTTTCAGCCGATATTTTCATGCCGTGGAATTTGTGGGAGTTACTTGACCAAACATCACCACATGGGTACGCGAAGGTTGCATAATCCAAAAATGGTCAACTGCTACGATTTGGGTTCATGACTCAATTGAAAAGAATGTCCCGTTTTAACAATCTCATTCGCATTGTTTGTCGATTTTTTTGTCTCGTTTGTAAAGTTTCATCATCTTCATCGATATGTACACATACAGCACGCTTGTAAAGCTACTGTTGGTTGAGGACCTCCCCAAGCCATGTCGCCCGCGAGGGATATGTGGCTATACTTCACAAGGCTGGTCAGTGCGGATTGGTGAATGGATTTTCCTGCCCCGCCATCGAACAAAGACGGTCACCGCATTGCTCGCTTTCAGATGCGCTTCTGCGACTGTCTGGAACACTCTTCTTCCCGATATTAGGAAGCCACTGGAGCTATGCGCTTTAAAATCTAGATTGAAAACTCCTCTCTTTACAACAGCTTTTTGTGTGTTAGTTTGTTGTGCTTCCCCAACACCTCCGATGAGCGCGGTTGGCTAGGTTTGGTGCAAATGAAGTTCAACATACACAATGCCTACAACAACACCTGTTTTTGTGCAAAGTGGTAACCCATCCAAGCACAAGTCAGGTTTTAGCCCTGCTTAGCTCGCTAGGTCTCCCTGTTATGATTACACTTGTTTATCCAGGAAAGCCTCACCAAGTATCACGACTCTTTTTTCAGGAGGGTCCTGCCAAGTTTTTTTTTAGTCAGGCATGATAATTCCAATGTATATTACAATTATTGAGTCTCGTGGGATCGGGGGCGCATTCCAAGTGATTTGGCCACAGGCCCTTGTCGGAGAGGAATCGTGAAGCGTAGTCGTTGGCGACGAGCCGCGATTAGGAGGCGCGCTCTCGTGAGCGGAGCAAGTGATCGACAGCGGGCGTGGGGGCGTGCCTACCGTCCATGGAGTGCACGGTCTCGAAGGCGACGATCTTAGGCGTGGAGGGGTCAGAGCGCTTCAGCACCTCCTCGAGGTGCGCCGGGTCGTTGTGGCGGAAGACAAACTTGGGCACGTGGCTGTTGCGGATGCCCATGATCATGGACGCGTGGTTCCCTGCGTCCGAGTAGATCTCGCAGCCTTTCACGTGCGGCAATAATAAGAGAAAGCACGATAAACAAAAGCTAACTATTACAATTTTTAAGGGTTGAAAAAAAAACCCAACCCCACGATAATACAAACCAAAAAAAGCCCAGACCAATGTCAAGACCGCGCTCGCCATCTTCAAGATAACTCCACTTAGCCCATGGGCTATAGCAGAAATTGGAAAAACTTAATGTAGCAATACTTTATTTCGGAGTACCGATGTTTTTACATGATTAATAAAAAAGTTAATTGTTTGAAAACCTACTCCTTTGAAATGGTTATCACGTAATTCATTCTTATTGGACAAATAAAAAATAGAACCACTAAAGTTATGCCACTGAAAAGTGAAATATCTGATCTGGGCTCATGAACTCATGGACTCTCCCGTGCTAACCTCTCGTCTGCCCTTCCATCTCCCCACTTCATACACTCACATACACCTCTCCTCTCTAATTTCAGTCTACTCTTCTCTAAAGCACTCTCCACTCCAATTTAACCTTCGCTCTGTGCACGATCACTCATTTTGCTCTGCTGTCCTATATCTGCAACTTCCCTTGTAATGCACACCATCGACTCCCTAACCCCTATATCCCATGTGTTTGAGTTATACCGAGTGTTCTTTGGCATAACGTCAACACTTCGTGGGGAGGCCTTCATTTACAGAAACTTGTGGATTGATTAATTTCACTTACTTTACAAAGTGAGCGTCAGTATAATATCAGGATTGTGTTTTTTACAGATCATATTGTGAGTTGCAAAATGCTTAATAAAGAAGAGAACACAGATCTGTGCTTTAATATTTTATAAGAATTGGCTAACCCTGCTCCCCAAAAATCTATAGAGCTAAGCCTGTTGGGCAAACGCTTGTGGTTTGTGTTCCAAAAGGCTTGTGCAAGCAAGTCTACCAAAAAGTGTGAGAAGGGGTGTTAATTTTACAGCTTTTAACAATATTTCCACTCGAGGGAAAGCAATTTGTGGTTTTATTTGCCACTCCTTAAATGCGTAGCTGCCGTGCAGTGGGAAGAGTGGATTGTTTAACAGTCACTATTTTCCAGCCATCTTCGAATTATGAAAGCAAATGCTTATATTGCATGAAGGTGTATTATTGTTACCGAGGGGGGAAATGCAGCTATGCTTTTAGGTGTTAAAACAAAGAAAGTCAATGATTAGGACCTGACATACTTGTTGGTGTAAGAACTATTTTGCAAGCACCTACTACGGCTGACAATTGCTTGACAGGGTGAAGAGGCTACAATGTGACCCTGGTTTACATTTCATGCTGAGATGACCTAGAATAGGCTCAGGCAAAGTAAAAATACCATCTGCTCAAGGTGTTGTCAATGGCCAAGGTAGTGAGATCATCATTCAAATCGGTTAACCCCCATGCAACTCAGAAACATAATTTTTATTTATACTGGAGGAATGCAATGAGCTATGAAGCTCTTTTTCACAGATCTCCAGTAGGTGCGGGTTAGAAAGTCACAATAACAATACAAATAAATAAAGTATATAAGAACATGTTGCAAAAGTCTATCAATTCCTGCCAATTTTTCAACAATAAATGCAAGCTTGAACAAGGCAGCAAAACAACAAAGATAACAGTTCCAGACCACAGAAAGACAATGCACATTTAAATGTAACAATTGACACGCACGTAAATATCAAAGTTACAAATCACATTTTCCAATGTAGATGAATCCAGCACTAACCTTCTGCGTCAGGATATTTTTTAAAGGAAGAAACTTTCGTGCTGCAACGGCAAAGGCTTTGTCGCCCATTCTAATTCTCGACGACTGCCGCCCACCAAACCGCCACCAAATGTTGGCAAGTGCCATGGGTGCCGTCGTGGTGCTAGGCTCGTAGTTGGAGATGACCGCAGCACTGCGCGGCGAAAGATTGAGAGAAGATCTCCTTGACACGTGGCCAAACTTCGCAGCCCACAGTTTCGGGACAGGCTCACGTCATTTATCGCAGCGATCGCGTGCAATGTACTACGCGTGCCCGTGTGCACGCACGTATCGCCGGTTACACGGACCAGGCAGCATCTTGGCGAGGGTGAAGAGGGTGGAGTCGTTGGCAACAAAGCACGAGGTGAAGAGGAGCGCAGCGTCCTTGCCATGCAGGCTTGCCAGCTCCTTCTCCAACTCCACATGGAAGCGGCTCGTGCCCGAGATGTTACGGGTGCCGCCAGCGCCGGCGCCATGCATCTTCAGTGTTTCCCTATCGCAGCCATACGGACGCCACAGACAGCAAGGACAGAGTTAGATATACGGAGAGTAACAGAGGAAAAACGACGGTCTAAGATGCTGAAAGGTATACGGAAACAACACTACGAAAGATAGTTTGAGGGAAAAGAGATAGAGGTAGTAGGCTCAAAAACAGAGATACCAACAGACAAAGGCAGAAAGATGGATCAAGTTACACTGATAGAGGCAGACATAGGGAGAAAACTATAGCGAGATGGTCAAAACTACCCAGAGGACAAACAGGCAGGCAGATAAAATTATATCAGACAAACGGCCGTAATGTATGTATGTACAACTTCTTTCACGCCATACAAAGCCAACCGTGGTAATCGGAGGTGCGTAATTGCACGACACCACGTGAACCACGCTACACAAACACACAAAGACAGCGCAAGGCTCCTTGCTTCCACGCCCCTGTCGTTAGATATGGTACACAAACGTTATCGGATCACCACCATGATTTTATAACAAACTACATTACAACACAGGGAAGCGTCATTTCCCCCAGCAGCGTGGGTTTAGATTTGTCACGCTGCACACCTCATTCATGGGCACACTGCCGCTTGCTGCACTTGCGCCATGCTGTTCGGGCGTTACAGTTGGCAGAGTTAAACGAGCATCCGATGTGGCTGTGACTTGGCTTTCATATGGGTACAACACAGTGGCATAGCATGGTTGGCAATGGCTCTGCCTGATGTAAGCAAAGAAATGAGGGCCTCCTGTCCAATTTCCAGGACCTCCGCCGCTCCCCCCCACACCCCAATTCTCATCGTAGCCCGGCGCCTGGACACACTTGGTTCCCGTGAGCCTCAGCGCCGGTGCAGTTGGACTGCCTACACACTCGATGGCTACACCATTGGCGCAACTATACATCACGTGAAACAGATGCGGCTGAAGAAACAAAAACCACTATAAAACTCTGAAGTCTACAGTACAAACATAGTTCATAGTTCCATTTATTTGGTATAGCCCTGTGAGCCATTCGGCTCTTGAATCGGATGCAAACGCAACAAACAAAAAACATGACTGACAGCGACAACTATTTCCCTCCCGGGGAGAGGTGACAAATGACATGCGGTGATGATCAAGTGCTGGAGTTTGATCCAGTCACTTGTAAAGATTGTTGAATACCCGACAGCTTACGCTCAGCGTCTTTGGCTGCGAAACGAGTGCTCACGCACACGACTCGTGCAATCCCGTGGAGGGGGTGGGGAATGCTGGCAGAGTTGTTGCCGCTCCTGCTCTGCCGCTTCGTCTATCGAGCTTTTAACTTTGATCTTCGATGTATTCATAGTTTTTAGCTTTAATTTATAGCTTGTTTATACCACTACATTTTGTATTTTTTTTAATTAGGTGGGATATTGTTCGCATTTTTTAGTGGTGAAATACTCTTCTCTGCCGTGGTCCGTCCGTTGTTGCTCCCTAATGAAGCTCGGACTCTTGCCGCTCAGAGATGTGTGCATGCTTGCACTCACAGGTCATTACATCTCAACATTATAACATCGCTCTCTTACTTTACAACACGTACTATCTGCTTAGGTTTACAGTACTTCCCTCACCTTTACATTACATCATGCACACACACACATATTACATCATACACTTAGGGCTGAACATTAAAACACTGTATATATGTTACCACCTGCTTCACAACATATCGCTTGCACTTACCACATGCTGTGTACACTTAAAATACATTTATGAAACATATCCACACTTACATGCGCACCTTTACTTTAAACATATACTAACATATATTTATGCATCGTAACATATGCGTTAAAATCATTGCTGCTGGGCAATTTCAATATTCACATCGACTCACCCAGATGTGCCCTCTCCAGGGACTTTCTGGCCACCATGGATTGTTTTAATTTAACTCAGCATGTTCATTTCCCCACCTATATTCGTGGTCACATGCTCGAACCAGTTTGTTCCCGGGGATTGCCTGTCACCAAATCATCAGACGCAATTTTGGAATCTAAAATCACTCTGGACATTTTGATTTAAAGCTTTCGTGACTGCAGGGATCCATATTCTTGGTTCTTTCGGTAAAGTCTTGTAGAAGGGAAACAATCATCACCCGATGATGACTGCTTGTGTTGCAGTCGAAATGTCGTGAGAATTGTATTTTTTATATTTTTATTATTTTATTGTTTCCCTTCTACGTCACTCTGGACATGTTTTCTTCGGCATTTCTCAAGTCGCCACTCTCTGAAGTACACCCATCGACTGTGGATGCCATGGTCCAAGTTTACAATTCTACATTAAACAGTGTACAGTAAAACCTTGGATTGCGAGCATAATTCGTTTCGGAAACGTGTTTGTAATCCAAAGCACTCATATCAAAGCACTCGTCTATCAGTTGTGATCACGTGACGCTCGGCAGACAAAGCGTATACGTACTACTCGTATTGCAAGACCCTCGCTCGTTTATCAAATTAATATTTAGTTAAAATTTTTGCTCGTCTTGCAAAACACTCGCAAGACCAAGTTACTCGCAATCCAAGGTTTTACTGTGTTGGATAGATCCCCCCCCCCACCGCCAAAATCACGCTGGATCTCGGTGGTGACATTTTCACCCTGGTATAACGACGAGCTTCGTGCACTGAAGGTAACTGTCCGCAAGGCAGAGCGATCTTGGAGAAAACCTGGTCGTGCCATCCACTCGCAAATCTTTAAGCACCACATTACAATTTACAGAAAGGCACTCGACCATGCTCGCACGAGCCATCTTTCTGCTACACTAGCCAATGCCTGGAATAACCCTAGGATTATTTTTGTCTACCGTTCATAGGCTCCTTCATTCATCCTGTGCTTCTCCTTTCTCTTGTACTAAAGCTAACGCTGATCAGTTCCTTCAATTCTATTTTACAAAATCAACACAATTCGCCTTTCTATTAAATATCCGAGCTCTCACAATCAGATGTTGCTTCATTCATTTTTAATTCCAAAGGAACCTCTTGTTCTCTGGATGCTATTTGGTCTAAATTTATTCATGCAAATTTTCCATCTATTGCAGTATTTATTACCAATCTTCTTAACTCACTCAAATCTGGTACTGTCCCTTCTCTTTTTAAATGTGCTGCTGTCATTCCTAAACTCAAAAAGGCTGGCCTCGATTCAGAACTCCTCAGTAACTATCGACTAATTTCCAACCTGCCATATCTCTCCAAGATCCTTGAGCTTTACAGCTTAAACATAAATTTTGATTAAAAGCTTTCGTGACTGCAGTAATTCATATTCTTAGTTTTTTCGGTAAAGTCATGTTGAAGGGAAACAACAAAATAATTATATATTTTTTATTGTTTTATATATACTTTATTATTTTGTTGTTTCCCTTCAACGTGAGTTTACCGAAAAAACTAAGAATATAAGCTTAAACATAATTGGCCCGTAAATGATCTTTTTGAGCCTTTTCAGTCCATTTTTTCAGGTCTGCCCACAGCACGGAAACAGCTCTGGTTAGGGTTGTCAATGACCTGCTGGTTGCTGCTGATGCAGGCAGGCCTAGCAGTCTTGACCATTTGGACCTGAGTGCGGTCTTTGACACCATTGCTCATTCCATTTTGCTCGAGCGTTTGAAAGGCGATATGGGGGTTTCCAGCACTGTTTTGCGCTGGTTTACTTCCTATCTATCTGAGCGTAAACAGTTTGTCAGCCTGGGAATGATAAATTCAGACACATGTTCTGTTGATTTTGGTGTCCTCCAGGATTCAGTCCTTGGCCCATGTTTGTTCTGCATATATTTGGCTCCACTTGGCCATATCATGCACCAACTTGGACTTGTTTTCGTTGTTACGCTGATGACACTCAAATTTACATTCAGGATGAATCCTCCCTCAATGTTGCAGCATCTAATGTATCATCTTCTCTTGTAACCACTAAGGCTTGGGTACAGTCTAACTTTTTTCAGTTAAAAGCTAATAAGACAGGTGCTGCTTGTTGGGTCCCGTCATCAATTGTCTAAAGCTGGCTCGGTCAATGTGTTAACTGATGGCCACAATGTCGGTGTTGTGTCGGTGCTGCTGCAGCTGCGCAATATTAGATCTGCCGAGTTCCTCGGTTTATTTAATTCTTGCCTTAAGATTTTTTTTCCTTCAAGGCATTTTCTCCTTGTTAATTTTGTTACGTGTTTTGGGAGTGGTGGGGGGGGGTATTTGTTTCCGTTGTTAAATAATGAGCCTGCGTGCTCATATTAGGTTTTATAATTGCATTGTTATATACTTACTTGCTTTTAGCTGTACAGTGCCTTGCGACCTCTGGGTGAAACCAGCTAAGTGTAAATTATTATTATGATATTATCCCGTCACCAGCAGCTGAATTGGCAATGCATCGGCGGCATCAGTTAATCATCAAATGTGGCCCGCGGTAGAGTGTGTTACGTAAATAATTTATGTAACATTACTCGTAAAGGAGATTGGAATGAAGCATTATGAAACAACTGTCCTTTCCCACTTCACTGCTAGATGAAGGCCTCCCCTGCACCTTGTTTTGTTTTGCGGGTTTGCTTGACCATGTGTCGCCACGATGGTTAGTGCAGGTCAGTGAGGTGTGGCCCGGGGGTGCCCAGCACTGGTTCAGAAATGTCTCGCTATTGATGTCGACGGGTTCACAGTTCAGTGCGCTAATCACGGCGCCACCAATCCCCTTCCTTTAGACTAGTATTCGCCAGAAAACAATGCTGTTTAAATGTAAGTATTATTAAAACTGATAAGAATGTTGCATATGATACGCCAACATTTTTTCATTCACGCAAGAACATTTTTCGCTAAATTCCCAGATTGAAAATTGACTCGACACAAAGCGACAAAAACGCATGTGTAAGAGTGCGTCGGACAACACCAGTGACGATTATCTTAACCGGTCCCGGGCCTCCCCTAGGTCGACTCGGCCTCAAATGAGTACCTGGTGCAGTGTGTAAACATTGCCACTAGGGAGACAAAGGCGGTCGGGCGTGGTGCTGGCCACCCACCCCTCTCGTGTACCGTTACCGACCTTCATAGGTGCTCGCTAACAGCACTTACCCCTACAGTCTGTTAAGGCTATATGGGGGATCTTTGTCTTCATCTTTGTGTTTGTCAATGATGTCAAGATACATTTTAAAAAAACTTTTAAAAAGGAGCAAAGAAACGCAACTACATCTATAGCGTGAACAATGGCAAGTAAAAACGATGGCCAATCTCCATCAAGATGTGATCATGCTAAACTTAAATAACACAAATTTGTACACGCCAACTTTGACAGTGCCGTGTTAGTTACATAGGCAGGGTTTTGCTAAATTCGTAACAATCCGCAGAGTGCACCAAAATCTTTGCTTTGCAGAAATTTAATGAAGGGAAAACCCCTCCAACTCGATAGAGGAAACAATAAAACTGATAATGAAACGAATGCGTCTGCATCATATCCCGTGTTGGTCAAGCACCAATGGGGAAATTTGTACAGACATGTGGCTGTGCACGTGGCCCTTTGCTTTATAAAACCATAACTTTTTGATTTCCTATAAACTCGCACAGCTCATCGCGTAGTGTATTGTGTGGGAGACGACACCATTCAAAACGTCTACGCTGTTAAGTGTGCAATTAATGTGACGTAATGAGCCAGAGTTTGGGTTGAGCGGTGGTTCGCGCATAGCGCTGCGAACATGGCAGTCCGAGTTCGATTCCCGGCCATGGTCCAAAACTGGTCATAGGCTGATATGAAATCATATTTATGAGTTATAGTGCTGTCTCCTCTTTATGGACAGATACACGGGCAAACAAGCAAATTAACAGAGCTTACACAATAACATTTTCAAGCTTAGTTGAAAAACATTCAAAAACCAATGATCCAGTGTCATGTGCTTTAAAAAAAAAAATCTTCCCCCCCCCCTTATACCACCGATGCTATCGGTGTCACTTCAGGAAACGGAGAATCCAATCGGATTTTTCCGCAAAACAGCGACCCAGTGGGTGCGTACGGGCTGGCGACAACGCGAGTGTGTGCGTGTGTGCGTGCGTGCGTGCGGCCAATGGGCGCGCGCTCTCACATGATGCCGCCCACAACGCGGGGGTGGCGGCTCATGCCCAGGTAGTCGTTGCTGCACCACACAGACACCTCCTTGGCCTCGCTCAGCGAATCGGTGAAGTCGTGCGCGTAGGGGAAGCTGTCGGCACGCCGGTTCACCGTCTTGAACATGCGGTAGGTGTGGTCGCGCAGCTTCACCTCGATCTTGCCCGTGAAGAACTTGTCGTAGTCGAACACCGAGAGGCCTGACGGCGGAGAAACCGACCGGCCAACGATTTAAAATCGAACTAATAGTTTTTTTTTTGTAGGAGGTAGGAGTTAAAGCGGATGTTTCGTCTCTCACTGCAATTTCAAGCTTGCACGTGTCTCTCCATGCTTACTCAAATGGCTACAAAAACCAAAGGCAAGCTTCAGTAGCAGAGCGTGGTTGGCATTGGCTCTGGTGCAAGACATTAAATGGAGCCTTGCTCTTTCCAATTTCCCCCTTATTTGCAACCTGATGACCTGGGCCCCTCCGGTCAGTAGGCCCCGGTGCAGCTAAGACTGCCTGCACACTCAACAGCTACGCCAGTGGCTGGCTCATCAAGAATTCCTTGGTTTTAGACATGCATTAAGTCCATCTCCTACCTTTCCATCACATGTCCCCCATGTGCCCACTCAACGGAACCCTTACCCTTGGGCATGTTGTCAGAGATGCCGTGGGTCATTGGCGTATTGTTGCCGGGGCTCAGGCCGGCACTACGAACGGCCTGCACCAAACCAGGACCCTCTGCCTGGAAGTCTTCACGGCGGATGTTGATCACGGTGGGGTTCACGGGGGTCTTGCCTTCAGCGACTTCTGTACGCACACAAGTACATCCATGCACAGACCACAGGCTTAATGGGAGGAACTGCCACCATGTGAAACTCACGTGCATACAAATTATTACATGCCCTCTGTAAATCCACTTCTGGACAAAGGCCTACCCATGCCATGTTTGACCATGCTTTTTCACACTTGTATATGTGCATTTATGAAGGAGGCAAGCCCAGGACACTGATGTTAGGAATCAAACTCGGGTCATCTGGTTCATAGTGGAGTACGAAAACATTTTCAGTTGAGATAAAAAGACATGATCATTTGTGTGCGTGTGAGGTAATGGGGGGGGGGGGGGGTACTAAGCTGCCACTGCTAAGAACCTTTATTTGAATCTGGATTTGTGATTAAACCAGACTGTCACGTGTAGTGATTCTAATGGAAGTGTAATAACTCTAAAAAAACTTGTCATATTTACATCGGTCTTTCACTTAATTTGGTGAGTCTAAAAATTATAAATATAGTTTCGACTATCATTGGTGAAACGTATGAATACCTTAACGTGCCACAAACTCGGGGGCACTTTCTCACATGCTGGCACCTCAATGTATGTGTGTGTGCTGGGTGGCCTAGTGGCTTAGGGGTCAGAGCAATGAAACCCAAATTGTAACCCATATTCAAACACATTTTGATTTAAAGCTTTCGTGACTGCAGGGATTCATATACTTGGTTCTTTCGGTAAAGTCACGTAGAAGGGAAACAATAAAATAATAAAAATATAAAACAATACAATTCTCACGACGTTTCGACTGCAACACAAGCAATCATCATCAGGTGTGAAAACCACAAACAGTTTCTCAGCAGTTACCAGCTCAGCGAGCCACCACCACACCCATGTTGAAGTGCCAGCATGTGGGAAAGTAATGCCCCCTAGTATGTGGGTAGGTGGCGAAATGTTAACTCGCTCACATTGAATGCAGGAGATTGCGGGTTCGATTCCGACCCCGACGCCTGTGTATTTGGAATTTGCATGTCTCTCCCCGTGGTCACGTGGATTTTTATCCGGGTCCTCCGATTTTTCCCTCCACATTTAGAAACATGCGTTTAGAGTATTTGACTGCTATACATTTCCACACGATAAGCCACTTTGTTGGGCTATAATTTGTGGCCAGGTCGCTTCTGAAAAATAGCTACATAGCTCAATGGTCCTTAGCCGGCAAAATAAAAATAGTCATCTTTTTTTTCAAGTTTTACTTCAGAAGTAGTTCTCGCAAATCCACATCAACGAGCCAGCCTCTAATACACGGGGCTTTGCAGTACTCTCGGAGTTCTATAAAGACACTTTGTCTCGTGCCGACAGACCAGTCGTAATGAAATGGGAGTGCTCGCGTGTGCACACGTACCCTTGCGCACAGCCTGCATCTCAGCAACGTCTTCCTGCACAACATAGCTGGCGTGCTTCACCACACCGTCCGGGCCACGGCTCACCTCGCCCGCCAAGAAAGGGCACTTGGACGACGCCGCCAGCTCTGGTTTTTAAACACACCAATGACGACGGGAGATGTGAGCACAACCGCAGGTAAACGAAGGCCTAACGCTGCAATCTGAGCTGTACAATAATAACAAAAAAATCAAGAAGCAACACAAATAAAACGGTAAAGAAAACCAATTATATTTCTCGATGTGTAACTGTGAATGTAAATTCATCAACTATTACATGCCAACCCACAAGGCAATTCCTATAACCACATGCACACAAACACATGCCCATAAACATTTGAAAATATTTCCTTTATACTTTTCCAGTGCACCTTGTATATATCGCCAATGAATGTTCTACATCTTGAATTAATGTTCACTTGGTGTCGATTTGACATGACAAAAGCATGGTCTATGAAGTTGCAGAATTTTCCCAATGATGGCTAATTTGTGACAAAAACTACTTGTGCAAAATTATCTTTGGTGAAATGGGGTTAGAATAAACAGACGCTCTCCAGACAAACGTGTTGATTTTGTAAATTGCTGTTTTTTTTTTAGAGCTAACAGCATGACGAGCTCATTGAGTAGAAGTCCCCTTGCTTTACAATAACACAAAGGTAAACCAAATGGAGGCCAAGTTTCCAAGTGAACACTTGAGCATGCGCTGAACCAAACAAATCAGCAGAGCGGTAAATACAATAAAAACCAATATAATTTCTGCGTAGTAAGATCAGCTAGGTTGAATGCCTCTTAAGTACCTCACGGTCAACACAAAAACAGAAAGCGCTCGGGGTAGGGGGGGGGGTTCTCGTGAAATTTCTGCATTTCGAAATGTTCTGTTACAGCGCGTCCTTGGGTAGAGATGGCCACGCCGTTACGAGGCGTGAAACGTACGGTCACGCGACAACATACTCCGAGCGGTTTATCTCAAAAACGCTGCAAAAATCCCCCCAAAAAACAGCGCCCTGACGTCTCACGCATTAACTTTACCCATTTCCCCTTCTAACGACGATATGGAAATTTTACAAACAAATCATATTGCGACAGATGATGACAAAAGCTTGAATGCATCATCACCCTACATGTTGTGTAATGCGTGTGTAAATTAAATTAACTTAACATTTCGTCCACAGTAGCCAATCCATAAAACATGGTAGGACACGCAGAAAAAGGGGGAGGAAGGTTGAGAACTTAGGGAAGAATCTTAGAATAGTGGTGGGGAAAATGTGCAGTGGCTTGGACACAGGTGGGAGTAACAAAATATAATCTGTTGAACAGCCTTACGTTTGAAAGCGTGCTTTTGATTCGAATGCACGAGTCAGGGATATAGCCCTTTGAAAAAAAAAGAAAAAGCTTTCACCTTCCTTGGTGTATTTACTGGTGACTTTTTGAAGAATCCACCCCTCACATAGTGCATCAGCGGGCGTCTCCATCGAGTTTGACATTGCTTGGTTGCTTAGCAGCCCACCACCTCCATCAACCGCCACCCACCACTCCCTCCCACCTTCCCCACCCCTCACCTTCGTTGCCGGGATGCTTGCCTTGAGCGCTGGGCACGCTGGCAGAGGTGGAGAGCGTGCGCACAGGACCCAGACCCTCCATCATGACAGGGCAGCGCTCTGCGTAGGTCAGCAGGGACATGCCAGCGCGCTGTAAGAATGCCTGCGGCACCCTCGCCAGGAACGGGCAGCGTCGCATCATGGTGGCCATCCTCACTCTGGATCTGCCGGCATAACAAACGAGACACGTGCGCACGCGATTGAGCTCCGAGCCGCCACAGCAAATGATGATTTCTTCTTTTTCAATGTACAAGGGCCACAACCGAGAACGTTCCAAGCCAGTCTTGGTGCAGGTCAGGAAACGCCGCGATTTTTTTTTCCCACTGCAGAACCTGCACCATACCGCTTACGCCACACGTTCAGGTGTAATGACGCTACATGCGATGAAAACTATTAACCCTGCCACTGTTTGGTCCCGAGTCAGATTCGGATGTCTTGTAGGTGACAGTTTCACACTTTGGTTCATGGCTTGGCTCTGCAATTAGCTAGTGGACAAACATCCGTACCGTGAGGGCTCTACCCTAAAGCAGCTCGGATGTGCCAGTGGAAAAGTGGTCACTAACATGCACGCACACCAAGGGTGAGCCGAGGGCTCCCACAACAAAACACACACACAAAGATATAGATCTGAAGTTGGGATGATTAGTCGATTAGGCTTCATTAACTAAACCATTTTATTCAACTACTTGTTATGCTTGAATACCCAGGCCCCTTCTAAAATGGAGTTCACCCAGAGATGCTGCCTCCCAAAGTCAGGGCAACCCCCAAAAATCACGCTCGTCAGCGAGCATCTATGATGACTGGCACACAATGCAGTGGACTGTACCGCATTGAGCAACCTTTGTCGCCCCAGTGCTGATGTTTACGCACAGCACTAGGTACTAATTTAAGGTCAACTCAACCTCAGGGAGGCCAAAGACAGGATCAAATATAACTCGTCAAAAATGTTGGCTGTGGCCAGGAATCAAGACTGAGATTGCAAGGTTTGTAGCACAGTGCACCAACCAGTATACTCACATCGAGTCACAAAAAAGACAAAGATCCCCCGTATAGCCTTAATAAACTTTTGGGGAGAGCGCTATTCGCGAGCACCATTGAAGATTGACATGGCACACAAGGGGGTGGGTGGCAAGCACGATGCCTGGCACCTTGGTCTCCTTAGTCGTGATGTTGACACATCGCACCAGGTACTCATTTGAGGCTTAGTTACACACACACGGAGACTCACAGGCCAACATAATTTTCCTAATCAAATTGTTGGATGAATCTCTCGTCTTTTCTCAGCAAACATGTCATTACACATCTTCAATAACTACACTTCAGTGCATACATTTTTCATGACAGCAGTTAGTGAATCCACACGATGACTTGGGCGCTGTGCAGATGGTTTTCAAAATGTGATGCCTAAACACTCGGTTCGGTGCAGCCATGATCCGAGCAATGCGGTATCGCGCTCCCCAAAATACTGGCAGCATCCCAACAGCCTAAGGATGACTGTTCACATGTAAAGAACTACAAGAAATCCCATAGCCACAAATCAAAGAATTATCGGCCTCAAGCCACGTAGGGATTGATACTAACACAATATTTTTTATTAAGTTATGCAACGTCTAACTGCTGCATAAACCGCAGCTACATTGCCCTGGCTTGGGTGACATGACAAAAGTCACCCAAGCCAAGTGCTGCCAATTCATGGAAAATATTAAAATGAAAGCCTTAATGCTGCTGAATTCTAGTGCCTAACAACACTCAAATGTATAACAAGTTAATTTGAATCTAAGGTTCTTAATTCTGAAATGTGTCATTTTCCTTTATAGGCAAATAATGCATGTAGTCACTGATGACAGTTTTTCTTCTTTTACTCGCAATACTTCCGTCAAATTGTGTGCGTTGGTATAGATTATTTACGTATTTATATACATTATATTTGCGCAACAATGGACAAAACAAAATAATAAAAATAAAAGGATACAAAACAGAAAACGAATAACAGAACAAAGAAGCAATTAGAAAAAAACTCTCCACAATCGTGAATAACATTGTGGCCTTAAAATGAAAATTCTATAATTGGTGACCTTTTGGGCAATGGCCCTTCTTCATGGCATGTAAATAATAAAAAAAACATTCTCGTGAATCGGAATATGCCGCTGAATTTGGAAAACAACATTTTCAAATGTTTCAAATATTGATTTACCGTTATCCATGCAATAAAATTTGACATCATAAGTCAGATTATTAAAATTTTAGTTAATATTCAATCCATGTTACAGTCACCATGAACTCACTTATTGTCCATATATATTTTTAGAATAGTCCACGAAATGTATTTGACAATTTTACTTTCTGAAAACATCCTTAACATTAATGAAAGAAAAAATAAAGTTTTACACAAAAATACCACCAATGTAACTCTACAATAAAATCAAATCCAATTATGGAAATAATGATCAGCACATCTCATTATATTGTCAACAACTTAAGCTGAAAGTGAAAAAGCGCAGAAGAGGTACTTGCATGGCTCTCAACGGTGAAATATTGCGTGGATCCTACTCCTATTTCAACACCCGTCTCAACAGCAGAGCTCCCGATATATGACAACGTGATGAACCCTTATATTATATGGAGGCTGCGTCTTGGCTTGCAGGGGGAGGCGTGTAAAGGTGTGAATGCGTATTTACACACGGAGGGGGGGGGCAAGGCATGGTTGTGAGTGGAAAATATTGTTGATGTGGATAAGCGTGTGGATGTGTGTGTGCAGGTATGGTTAGGTATATGTGTGTATGTGGGCAGGCATGGTGCTGACCACCCACTTCCTCATTTACCTGTGCCAGCCTTAATAGGTGCTTGCTAACACCACCTATTGCAACAGCCTGTTAAAGGGTATACAGGGGATCTTTGTCTTTGTGCATGTTGAAGTGTCTCTGTGCGTGGCTGGGTGTATGCGTGGGTGGTCATGTGTGTTAGCGAGTATGTCCAACCGTGATGATAGGGTATGTGAATGCACGGGTTGACATTCAAGCGTCGATTAAAGGTGTGTGTGTGTGCGTTAGCGCATGGATGCGCGTGGCCATGTGCAAAGGCGGGTATGTCTGGCCGAGAATGTACGCCGGGTGGGTTGTTTGCGTCGTCGACTGATGGGCACGCAGCTTTGGGTTCAAGTGCAAAGGTGTGTGTAGGCATGGCTGTGGCGTCCAGGTGGATTATTGTAAGCGTTTGCACCAGTAAATGTGTACACTCGAGTGCGTGTTGTGTGCATGCAGGGACAGTGGCTATTGGTGCGTGTGCGTGCGTGCATACGAACAAACAGGAAGCACCCGCCCTTACCTGGAAGTGGTACGAAACAGATTCCATTTGATCGGATCCAATAGGAACGTGCATCGCGACAGAGCAGACAGCATTTTTGAAGGGTGTGGGAGATTTGTTTTTTTTTAAATCTATAAATTAGATATATACCCTATTTAGTTCCATTCGAAAAAAATAAAAAAAATAAAAAAACGATACACAACATGCAATGTCGAAGTGTGAAAGCGGAGTGTGGTGTGGGGGTGCTTGCGACGGGACAGCAAAGGGGCTCATTCAGCTCAGAGGACTGTGCAGTCGGGCAAAAGCCAAGCGGCACGGGAATGAGCACGCCTGCTTCTGACAGGGCGTCCTCAAAGAAGAAAGCGGCTCGTCAAAGACAGCACCCTCTCTCTTGACCATGGAAACCCCCCACCACCACCGCCCTCCCCCCCCCCCCCCTTGAAAAGCCAGGGAGCTCTTGCAACATTGGTGGGCCGAAGGGAGCAGCGCAACGGAGGACAATTTCACAAAAATCTCGCACGTTTCGTCACCGAGACAGAGCGTTGTCCATCGTCGTAGTCGTCGTCGTCGTCGCGTGCGCTGTTCAAACATTGGCGTTCAGCCTCAGTAATAGAAGTGAAGTCTAATCGCATGATACTTTGAAAATGATTCCTGAAGAGTACACTGCGCATCTGTGGAAGATTTGCGGGCGTGCTTAGACTGTACTGACTGGGATATGTTCACGACTGCTACCAATAGTCTGGATGAACTCACAGAGGCTGTGACGTCCTACATCAGCTTCTGTGAGGACTGCTGTATCCCAACACGTACCAGGGTGAACTTTAACAACAATAAGCCCTGGTTCTCAGCAAAGCTCAGAAGGTTGAGGTTGGAGAAGGAGGAAGCGTTTAGGAGTGGAGATAGAGACAGATTCAAGGAGTCGAAGAACAGGTTTAGCAAAGCGGTGAGAGAGGCTAAACGACTGTACTCAGAGAGACTAAAACACCAGTTCTCTACAAACGACGCTGCTTCTGTCTGGAGAGGGCTCAGGCAGATCACCAACTACAAACCCAGAGCCCACCACACCACTAACGACTCCCGCCTAGCCAACGACCTGAACGAGTTCTACTGTAGATTTGAAAGACAATTGGACTGTCCTGAACCACCCCTTCCAACCCAAGAGGCCCCATCCCCCACCAATACTACAGAGACGACTATCTCCTTTCAGGAGGGAGAAGTTAATAGACTTTTCAAGAGGCAGAATCCACGCAAAGCAGCCGGGCCGGACTCTGTCTCTCCAGCCACCCTCAGGCACTGTGCTGACCAGCTGTCTCCGGTGTTCACCAACATCTTTAACACCTCCCTAGAGACATGCCATGTACCAGCCTGTCTCAAGTCCTCCACCATCATCCCTGTGCCCAAAAAGCTAAGGCCAACAGGACTAAATGATTACAGACCGGTCGCCCTTACATCTGTGGTAATGAAGTCTTTTGAGCGCCTGGTCCTGGCACACCTCAAAGCCATCACAGACCCTCTCCTGGACCCCCTTCAGTTTGCCTACAGAGCCAACAGGTCTGTGGACGATGCAGTTAACATGGCCCTCCACTTCACCCTACAGCATCTGGACGCCCCAGCATCCTACGCCAGGATCCTGTTTGTGGACTTCAGCTCTGCCTTCAACACCATCATCCCTGCCCTGCTTCAGGACAAGCTCTTCCAGCTGAACGTGCCATACACCACCTGTAAATGGATCACAGACTTCCTGTCTGACAGGAAGCAGTGCGTTAAGCTGGGAACACAAGTCTCTGACTCCAGGTCCATCAGCACCGGAACTCCTCAGGGCTGCGTCCTTTCCCCTCTGCTCTTCTCCCTGTATACCAACAGCTGCACCTCCAATCATCTGTCCGTCAAACTATTGAAGTTTGCGGATGACACCACCCTCATTGGGCTGATCTCTGGTGGGGATGAGTCTGACTATAGGTGGGAAGCTGACAATCTGGTGACCTGGTGTAGCCAGAACAACTTAGAGCTAAATGCTCTAAAGACAGTTGAGATGGTTGTGGACTTCAGGAAGAATACAGCACCACTCACCCCCATCACCCTGTTAGACTCCCCAGTAAAAATTGTAGAGTCCTTCCGCTTCCTGGGCACTATTCTCTCCCGGGACCTCAAGTGGGAATTGAACATCAGCTCCCTCACCAAGAAAGCTCAACAGAGGATGTACTTTCTACGGCAGCTGAAGAAATTCAACCTGCCAAAGACAATGATGGTGCAATTCTATACAGCGATCATTGAATCCATCCTCACCTCCTCCATAACCGTCTGGTACGCTGCTGCCACTGCCAAGGACAAGAGCAGACTGCAGCGTATCATCCACACTGCTGAGAAGGTGATTGCCTGCAATCTACCAACCCTCGAGGACCTGCACACGACAAGGTCCATGAGGCGAGCGAGGAAGATTATGGCCGATTTCTCCCACCCTGGACACTCTCTGTTTCAGCTACTCCCCTCCGGCAGAAGGTTTCGGTCCATCAGGACCAAAACCTCACGCCATAAAAACAGTTTCTTCCCATCTGCTGCTGGCCTGTTAAACAAGGCCAAGGGCTAACACTGTTTTTAACATTTGATCTACATAACGACACCTTGCCGATATTAACTATGTTACCCTATTTGTATTTTTTATTTTTAAATTATATCTTAAAGCTATTTTATATTCGATATTTATTTAATTTTATATACTTCAGCCCCTTGGTGTTAGACTTTTAACCCTTATTATAGTAAGACTTGTTTAAAACTTATTTAAGATTTTAGATTCCTATATGTTGAATGTATGCACCATCCTGCCAAAGTAAATTCCGTGTCGGTGTGAACTTACATGGCGAATAAAACCCTTTCTGATTCTGATTCTGATAAGTAGAACTCAAAACAAGCAGTTGGCTCTGTTTTCATGTATGTATGCATGCCCATGTACAGCCCTGTATGAGGCCCTCGCCGCACCTACTTAACTAGATGACGGACTCCCCACACCGTTAAGGTTGGGGGGGGGGCGGGGGGAGTTAATTGATGACACTTCACAGCGCTGGTCGGTCAGGTTTGGTGGGCACATGGGATGTTGCTGCTCTGGCCTCGACTGACAACAGAGCCATGCACAAGCGTACACCGCCTGTTTTAATGCACCGGAACGTCGGCCGCCTGTGACTACGACTGTGGCCGCCGAAATTCTAGCTCCAACGGAGGGCTTCTCAGTGCTTTATGCCATTCCCGCAACCCCCACTGAAGTATTCTTCCCCCCCCGCCCCCCCCCCAATGTGTGCAGATACTATTGACTCTATTGTATGTAGGGTGTGTAGGCATATGTGCCTACAAAATATATTTTTTTTGGCAGGGGAGCAGGGGGGGGCATGAATTTTTGAAACCTGTTGGATCAACTTTTTACCCTCACATTTGGGGGGGGGGGGGGGGCTGTCCACTTTCTCTTATAAATTAGGCTCTTATAATTTAGTTGACGGACAAACGGAATGCCGGGCTTTTATAATAGGCTAGCGGGAAGTGCCCGTCGTTGCCCGGCGGAAAAATATATTTAAAATTTCTCTTAAAAACAAAACATAACATATACATACACAAATACTAAGCTATTGTGAAAGCACGGCGTGCTGGAATAGGTTTTACCCTTTTAACTGGCACAAAAAACTGACACCTTTATTCAAGGTGTCAGTTTTTATTCAAGGTGTCAGTTTTTGTGCCAGTTAAAAGGGTAAAACCTATTCCTATATCTTGTTTCTGGAAAAGGAGGTCTCATAATGTCAATGCTCACCCCGAGCCCTCAGTACTCTGATAGTGCGCTGTTTTTTGAGTTGTACGCCTTTTGGCGTCTTCTGGTCCAACACCAATGGATACTAGGCTCTAAGAAAAGCTGTCTCGGGTGTGGACCAATCAAATTCAAGGACAGTGCATATTATTATCAGAGTTGTCTTTTTTGTTTGCATTTTGACTGCTTGTGTTGTGGTCATTGCAAACATGATACCTTGAATAAAGGTGTCAGTTTTTGTGCCAGTTAAAAGGGTAAAACCTATTCCTACACAGCGTGCTGCTTGTCTGTCCATTTGTCTGTCAACAAAATTACAAGAGTTTTATTTTTCGATTTAAAGCTTTCGTGATTGCAGGGATTCATATTCTTGGTTCTTGCGGTAAAGTTACGTAGAAGGGAAATAATAAAATAATGAAAATAAAACATAAAATAAAATTCTCACGACGTTTCGGCCACAACGCAAGCAGCCATCCTCAGGTGAAGAAACAGAGCTGTCGGGAAGACAGCGTCCTAATGCCAGCGTTTCGCGCATGCGCAGATGCGTACTTTGGCACGCGCTCAGCATAGTCGTATAAAAATTAATAGTAATACAGTTGATGGATGGGAAATACGAATGGCACTGGCTCACCCCGGGGGGCTTATCGCGTGGTATCTGGGTACTTTTTGAAGCGAAAACCCCACAGTTTTGCGAGTTAAAAGCGTCGCAAGTTGCGTCCACACACAGACAAAAAAATGGCTTTTATGGGCAAGATGGTGGCTACCCGTCCAAATAATGTCCACATTGTAATGAAATTGCCACTTGGAAAATTGTTGACAATCACCACCCAAGGTCGTGATAAAGGTTTTGCAAGAGCCTGACATACGCAACTACGTATGACTTGAGGACAAACCCAAGGATTGGCTCTCATTGTACACATCAGTCTCCGCAACACGGAACTCATGAGAACCGGGCATCAATCGCTATGGTGGACGGGGCATGGAGCTCGTGACGGCAGTGTATTGCATCCCGGCTATTTCCAGATGCCCAAAAATGCACCACATATCCATCCGCTTTTTCTGCCACACCATTCTGTTTGCCGTGTGGGGGGCCATCGCTGTCGCATGAGCGAATTTCCACAAATAACCCGAACACGACGGCACCTGGGAGCGGTGGACAATCGCGCTTGGGGATTGATCATGTGCAGCAGAGGGGCGGAGGCCGCTTCTTCAAGGCTGATCGCATAATCATATCTGAACATTAACAATCGACGCGGGAAATCTCAATGCCTTCTGCCGCGACCAGAAAATGGTCACAATATTTACAACATTTTTCAGAATGTGCCTCAGAGATGATGACAAGTGATTTTAAGTAATAGCATTTGTGCTATTAATATTACGTAGTGAAATGATACGCCTTTTATATTCCAACAGCCATAGTCTATCCACTGCTGTATTAAAGCATCTGAATATCATGGTATTTGATATTTATGAGTTATATCATTGCCAAAGACTGAGAAACGGTAAGTGCCATTAATAGTTATTATTTAAAATGTATTAGCCTACAATTTAGCATGAGGCTGCTTGATAAACGGTTATTAAGATAACCTGA